GTAACGTTGAGGGGGAAGGTGAAATTGATGTCTCCAACGCCCTTTAATCCAAGAGGCTTTATATTCTTGAACTCACCCATGTTGGTAAAGTTGTGCCAAGCAACTGGGGGCATACCCACTGGTGCAAAATAATTGGGAGGGGGTCTTAGACTCTCAAGAGGGTAATAGTCCATGAAGCGAGCTGGGAAGTTCCAAGGAAGATGAGGCTTGTGAAGTCCGACAGCCACAAAGAAAGGTTGCTCACCTGACTTAGCTTTAGGGGCCACGTCTTGAAGAACCTGTATTGCATGGTCAGCAAGCAGGGTGTCTCGCAGGGGTTGTTTTGCTTCTCGGTCCTCAGATACAGCCTCCCAAATGAGATCATCCTTAGCATACTTATCAGATGCATGAAAATATGGATCTGTCCACGACACGGGGTCGTCATTGCCCGACGATTTCCCAGGGTCGAACACCTTCCCCATCCCTATTGTTCTGTACCCGTTCTGTTTGAAGTACTGGGGCAGAGTGGTAAAGTTGCCTCCACATTTCCTGAAGTAGGGACCGATGTTCCAGACGTGACTTGTGTCGGGTCTCCTGCTGGTGAGAAGGGCTGTTCTGCTTGGATTGCAAAGTGCTTGGGAAACATAGGCTCTCTTGAGGAGAAGACTCGTTTTGGCTAATGCGTCTAGAGAAGGAGTCTGCATCACTGGATAGACGGGCGAGGGGAAGTCGGGGCCAAGGTATGATCCCAGGTTGGGACGCATGTCATCAGAAACGAGAAACAGAACATTTTTCTTGGCAGACACCACAGACATCAGAAGGAGAAGGGCAAGGCACTGCATTGTGTGTATGGAAGTCATAATGTGCATTCACAAGTCTTGCATGATTTGTTTTATACTGAGAGGAATTGGAACAGTTGGGAATGGCTAAATTCCACATGTTATCTCAGTCACGTTGTACGTATGCATAGCTGTGTGACGTAGGAAGCCCAAATAACTCTGCACGAGGTTATCAACAGTAGATATGCATGTAGGGAATTTGGACGGAATGTTCAGATTCAGCAAATTACAACACATGGACATTCACAGGCCTGGCTACGTAGTGTTGTGTGATAGATTCAGAACCTTGGTATTCTTGAGAAACAACAAAAGATTAGATTGTGTTCTCATGCGTGAAGCAATATGTGCATATATGGCGCCAAAAAGATCTCTTGTTTTATTTTGCTGAAAGTGATTAACAATGTCAGGAAAATCTTAATTTTGTTTAATTCAAATATCGTGGCTGCATTTGAATACAGATAAATGGAGTGTTTAACAACCAAAATCCGGAGGCTTTAGTATTTATGATACTCTGAAATGATCATAAAAGAATAATAACATCTGGCACCTTCAGTTTCATGTGAAATCTCCGTATTATAAATAATATCACAAATTTGTAAACTCATAATGGTAGTGAGAGTCTTCATATGTATTTAGAAGCTGGACAGTTGACAAGGAGTGTGATGGACAACAGTTTCTGTAGTATACATACACAACGTCTCACGGCTACATCTTGACCCTTAATAAAGCATTTAGGCCGCCTCCGTGGTCTAGTGGTAGAGTGTCAGCCCGGAGGGCGGAAGGTCCGGGGTTCGATCCGCGGCCGCGTCATACCAAAAGACGTTAAAAGATGGTACTTGTTGTTACCCTGTCTGGCGCTCGGTATTAAGGGGTTAAAACAAGGACTGGTCGGCTCGGAGTCAGTATACTGTGTCTGAGTGGGGTATTCATGTTAAACTGCGGCATGGTATATCAGTGAGCTAGCACTATAAATCGGCATCAGTCCGGACTAGTACAAGCAGCCACACAAACACACACACGTACATGCACGTCGCTATATAAGTGCAATAATCTTGGACGCGACGTTAAACCCCATTTCAGATATTCTGAAATGATAAGAATTTGCATAAGACACCGTCAGTTTCAAGAAATCCCCAGATTAAAATTTTAGAACAATGAAAATGGTACTGAGAGTCTTTATAGGCATTTAATAGAATTTAGATAGGATTATTTTGGATAGCACTCACTCACTCATTGTAATGGTAAGGTTCCTGATGCTATGTTAAGTAAAACTCACTCACTCACTCACTCACTCACTGTAATGGTCAGGTTCCTGATGTTATGTTAAGTAAAACTCACTCACTCACTCACTCACTCACTGTAATGGTCAGGTTCTTGATGTTATGTTGAGTAAAACTCACTCACTCACTCACTCACTGTAATGGTAAGGTTCCTGATAGTATGTTAAGTAAAACTCACTCACTCACTCACTGTAATGGTCAGGTTCCTGATGCTATGTTAAGTAAAACTCACTCACTCACTCACTCACTCACTGTAATGGTAAGGTTCCTGATGCTATGTTAAGTAAAACTCACTCACTCACTCACTGTAATGGTAAGGTTCCTGATAGTATGTTAAGTAAAACTCACTCACTCACTCACTCACTCACTGTAATGGTAAGGTTCCTGATAGTATGTTAAGTAAAACTCACTCACTCACTCACTGTAATGGTAAGGTTCCTGATGCTATGTTAAGTAAAACTCACTCACTCACTCACTCACTCACTGTACTGGTAAGGTTCCTGATGCTCTGTTAAGTAAAACTCACTCACTCACTCACTCACTCACTGTAATGGTCAGGTTCTTGATGCTATGTTAAGTAAAACTCACTCACTCACTCACTCACTGTAATGGTAAGGTTCCTGATGTTATGTTAAGTAAAACTCACTCACTCACTCACTCACTGTAATGATAAGGTTCCTGATGCTATGTTAAGTAAAACTCACTCACTCACTCACTCACTCACTCACTGTAATGGTCAGGTTCTTGATGCTATGTTAAGTAAAACTCACTCACTCACTGTAATGGTAAGGTTCCTGATGCTATGTTAAGTAAAACTCACTCACTCACTCACTCACTGTAATGGTCAGGTTCTTGATGCTATGTTAAGTAAAACTCACTCACTCACTCACTCACTGTAATGGTAAGGTTCCTGATGTTATGTTAAGTAAAACTCACTCACTCACTCACTCACTGTAATGATAAGGTTCCTGATGCTATGTTAAGTAAAACTCACTCACTCACTCACTCACTCACTCACTGTAATGGTCAGGTTCTTGATGCTATGTTAAGTAAAACTCACTCACTCACTGTAATGGTAAGGTTCCTGATGCTATGTTAAGTAAAACTCACTCACTCACTCACTCACTGTAATGGTCAGGTTCTTGATGTTATGTTAAGTAAAACTCACTCACTCACTCACTCACTCACTCACTCACTCACTCACATTCCTGCTATAACACAGAGATATGCCAACATGTGTCTCTTCGCCGTGTCTGCTGCATGTCGTTATCACAAAGCCACAATCCAAAAGCACCAGCACGTCTGACCAGACGCTTTTCAGATCAAGGCCGCAGCCCACATAGCTTTACTTTAGATAAACCGTTACAGTTACAAACGACAATCAGAGGCTGAAAGCCTTGAATTAGGGCTAATCAACACTACAGATAAACTTTCTTCAGACAGTTAAACTAAAGTTGTTTGAGAGGCCTTTCTTAGATGGAGAGGGCGGTCGGGTAGCCTCGTGGTTTAAGCATTCGCTCGTCACGCTGAAGACCCGGGTTCAATTCCCGATATGGGTACAATGTGTGAAGCCCATTTCTGGTGTCCCCCGCCGTCATATTGCTGGAATATTGCTAAAAGCGGAGTAAAACTCACTCACTTAGATGGAGAAAGAATGTACACGTGAATACCAAGCATAGTCAAAATCTACCCAAAAGCGCATCAGATCGAGCAGAAGGTATCGCTCGCGACAAGGTGACAGTAATTTCAATAGCCCAAGTAACTCGCGAGATCGTCCAGTGATCACATCCCAACTTGATGGTTTCAGCCAGTGCGCTGTTCGCCCATTTGTACACAATTCTATGTAGTGCGAAAAGAAGTGACAACTCTTGACAATATCAGAGATTAAAACTGATTTGATTTATGAGTGAGTGAGTGAGTGAGTGGGTGAGTGAGTATGAATTTACGCCGCGTTTAGCAACATTCCAGCAATAACACGGCGGGGACATCAGAAATGGGTTTCACACATTGTACCCATGTCGGAATCGGCGTGCCGAGCGATCGCTTTAACTACAAGGCTACCCGACCGCCCCATTCTTGACTCATGAGGGTTCTAAAGAAAGATTACGGTTATATCTGAATAAATAGGGAATTTAGATGGTGTAAAACACAGTACTATTATGTGCTATTGAACTCGCCGCTAGAACTCGTTGTCAGCCCAGAAAGGATAAGCACATCGCCATTGTACTACTTGTCGCGGACCACCCGCTCCCCCTTTCTTTCTGTATGCCTGGAACGGCGTTACAAAGAATGAAGAATGTGTTACTCATACAAAGTGACATGTATTCAGGTATATAGGTAAATACCTATCAAAGACTTGATGAATATCGATATTTCCCTCAGTGAGACCGCCTCAATGGTCTAGTGGTAGAGCGTCCGCCCGGAGAGCGGAAAGTCCTGGCTTCGATCCCAGGCCGCGTCATACCAAAAGACGTTAAAAGATGGTACTTGTTGTTACCCTGTCTGGCGCTCGGCATTAAGGGGCTAAAACAAGGACTTGTTGACTCGGAGTCAGTATACTGTGTCTGAGTGGGGTATTCATGTTAAACTGCGGCATGGTATCTCAATGAGCTAGCACTATAAATCGGCATCAGTCCGGTCTAGTACAAGCAGCCACACACGCAGACACACACACACGTACATGCACGTCGCTATATAAGTGCAATAATCTTGGACGCGACGTTAAACCCCATTTCACCTCACCACTTTGCCTCAGTGATATTGCATCGTGATAGCATAGATGCCGATGAATGGTATCGTATGCTTATTTTCTGTATGGCAATACGAATACAAATTTCAAAGATTGTGTTTGTTCCTGTTTGATCTGATGTACATGTTTCATCTTACATATTTACCTTTGCAGCCTTTTTCGGCATTGCAAGAGTACAAGGTAAGTCTTGATCAGTTTCTTTAAAGCTTAAAGAATAAAAAGAGAGGTTTTCAAATATATTGTTTATAAGACTGTATTGACGCGAATGTGATAGATATGCGTATGTAAAACAAAACATATTCCCTGTGATGTCATTTTAAGTAAAGACAAATGTCAAATTTCTACGTGACAAAATGGCTCCGATGTCTATGTGCCACGTTGACGGGCAAAGTGCGGTTTACAGTCTCGTTTTGAATGACTGTAGTATGTAGTATTTACACCGTTACTGATCACACGATCTCGTTTTGAATGACTGTAGTATATAGTATTTACACCATTACTGATCACACTATCGTGTTTTGAATGACTGTAGTATATAATATTTCATCATTACTGATCACAGGATCTTGTTTTGAATGACTGTAGTATATAATATTTCATCATTACTGATCACACGATCTTGTTTTGAATGACTGTAGTATATAATATTTCATCATTACTGATCACACGATCTTGTTTTGAATGACTGTAGTATATAATATTTCATCATTACTGTTCACCCGTTTGTTTATCCGATAAGGTTTCAATTCGGTTTCGGTCCGGATTAAGGGAGATGCACCATATCTGTGAAATATTGAGACATCAGGTCAGACGCTAACTCTCTGTCATCTGAAAGATTCCGTAGCTTCGGTCCTGCCCAACACTGAACCACATCGAGCACGTGGTGTCTACTTCGTTTGTAATATGCCTGTTCACCAAGCAGTGAAGGGGTACCCGGTAGGATGGGATGGTAATGTGACTCGTTTAGCGCAAAACACTGCAGCTTGAGTTGTATACTACCCAGGGAGCAGATAATGGAACATGAATGCATGCTGACCCATTGCATTAGGTAATAGTGGTAATAATGTTCCCGCATATGGATTTGGCGCTCGAATTTACAATATATATTATTATTATATTTAACTCCAGGTGCGACAACAGCTGCCACTACAGGGGCGGCAACAGCAACAAGTAAGTGAGGAACGTCATGGGCACTGGAACACTTTAACACTGATCTCGTTCTTATTGCGATATCTGAGACATTTAACTGCCTCTCTTTTCTTTGAACAATTAATGTGCACCTGATGAAAACAGATATCGTAGGTTGCATAAAACTTCTATTGTTTTTTTACATTAATCTGACCAAATGGAGAATTATTATATATTTAGGACACGTTTCTATTGTACATATCTAAAAAACGTTAATCTCTAAGTCATTGATTTTAACCTGCGAAATGATAGATAAATGATTAAAACTACTATCCCTATCACCGCAAATATTTTGTTTTGATAATAATTTTTGTATAATACTTAATTGAAACGTGAATCTCTCAGTTGTCTCTTTATGGGTGTTCGTCACGATATGGCTGAGATACTGCCGATGTGACGTTAAATTTTAACTCACTCACTCTTTATGGGTGCGAAACGGTCGATAAAGCCCACTCTTCATCCCAGGTGTTTGTGACGACTCGCTGACGGAGACGCTCCCAGACGCGGCGTTCTCCGCCTCCAGCGACTACACCAGCAAGGATCCTGTTCACAACTACGCCCCCTACAGGGGAAAACTAAACGTCAAGGTTGACCCTGATCCCAAAGCTTACAAGGTCGGCTCTTGGGTCTCCCTCGATTTGGATACAAAACAATGGCTGCAGGTAACCCCGGGATCGTAGCTACAATCATAGAGACTTAAAGGGGCACTGATCTAACCCATTTCCCCGGACTGGTTGTTGCCTTTGTTATTGTTTTTCCCCCCCGTGAGTACCCGGATGATACGCAACGCAACTGAGCGTGACCAGAGACTGGGCTACCGTCTGCAAGGACAGCTAAATAAACTTGGAGGCTGGAGGCAATATTTGTTTTACGCATTTTTGCATAAACACTGATTGGTTAACTGTGATCTATAAAGATTTCGACAAAGGGCGCATCTTAATTAATTTCTCCAGCCTAAACAAACAGACAAAAGGAACGACGGAGCTCATCGGATGTCGTCATTTGGAAATACCCCAGATGGTTATAGTTTAATACTAAAAAAAGTATCCATGCAGTGAAAGCATTTTCGGATTTCCGATTGCGTCGATAATACGATTACTACTCCCTTGTTGTCATCCACGTTTTCTCGTATAACCCTACACTTGTGTATTTGTCGTCATTCACTTGATGCTCAGTTAAGGAATTTATTACAGGTACAATTAGTGGTAGCACCACTTAGATTACCTGACAAAGGTTATCTCCCAAAACCCCTACATCCCATTTCCCCTACAACCCAGTTCCCCTACAATTAGTTAAAAACAACACGCGGCATTTACCTGTCTGGCATTATGAACTCACCTGAAGGAGAGATTAAGGTCTGGAGTAGAGGTAGTAGAAATGAGTTGAGATCACTAGGTTTAGTATATAGATACTTGAAACTGACTAACATGACATCAACATGTCTGGGCTTCGCTATGTTGAGTTTGTTATGTTACAGAGAGGAAAGCCCCAAGTCCTATTTGATCGTTATCTTCACACTAAGAACGTCGAGAGACTGACTTGCGTACACTATTATTTTGTTATAATGTATTATGAATTTTGAAAAATGAACATTTTATTATAATGTATTATGAATTTTGAAAAATGAACATTTTATTATTATGTATTATGAATTTTGAAAAATGAACATTTTATTATAATGTATTATGAAATTTGAATAATATCGTAATTTAATATTTATCTCAATCTATTCGTGTTTCTTGGGTTGTTCCATTGTATGAAATAGGTAATAGACTAGGGATTAGCAGTGCCATGGACCGTGAACTTTGTTGTCTTAAGCTGTAGGGGAAATGGGATGTAGGGGTTTTGGGAGGTTACCCTGACAAAGGTTCCCATTTGGCATTTATTGTGTCTGGGGTAATTATTCAATCTAAATCCAGGTTTGAAGTGAGATGAAATGTGTGTTGTGTAATATGCACGTGGCAGCCCAGCAAGAGATGAATGATCAGTTAATTTACTTTTTTTTGTAAATCAACGGATCGTTCCTAATCATCAAAGGATTAACAGAAAATACGTTGATTGATTAATCACTGTTATCTTGCGCAGTGGATATGTCAAAAGTGAGTGTTTACATGTCTAGGTTTACTAAAACAAAGGGAATACACTCACATCATGGCGTGAAGCGCCGATGTAAAAACAACATACTTTGTTCAAAGGGTTAACTGATAATACGTTGATTGATTGCTCATTGTTATCTATCACTCAATGGATTTTTTAGGAACCGTGGACGTTATGAAAATAGTTGTCACGTGGGCTTTCTCAGCCGACCCTTGAGACTTGACACCTATGTGAAACACCTGAAACAATCTAAGTGATCAGTTGAGAAATCGAACACGGGTTATAATATCCCGAAACGATATATATCTTTTATACCATACCCAGCTCCCTTAGTTCTCCTCCCCTACCCCATTGGCATCTATTCCAAATCTCAAAATTCCCAAATTCTATAGAAGCAACCCCTAAAGCCCCCTCTTGGGTTGCACACACCACTTTCGCCCCTTTCGGAAACACATTAAATGGCCTGGCCGGGCCCGTGTGCGAAATACGCATCAGTCGGAAAGCGCACGTTAAATCTCCAAAGTAAGTAAGTAAGTAAGTAAGTATATCTTTTAAAATATTTGATTGTTACAGAGACACGTGACATGCATCGAATAAGTTTCTTTGTACAGCTGCAGACGAGTAGGATATTGTTCCTTTGTGTGCATGGATATTCACGGACACATTCCTCGAACAAGGAAGTTGCCTAAAATTTATACACATAAATTTGGTAGGTTGTAATTATGGTATTTGCATTTTGTTTTCCTTCATTTGAACCGATTCGTTCTTGTTCCTCTACATCTTGGTTGGGAAATTCTTCAATGCGCGATAGACGTTGTTTTCACAAGTCTTTTCCTTTGTAAGCGTGTATATATTACCGTCAATTTGTAAAATCTGATTCTCTCAGTCAATTTATGAAATGTGTAAATATTTCAGGCATTTTGACTGAAAAATCTGTCCAGATTGACTAAAATTGATTAAGACGATCCAACGGGCCTAAAAACACCACAACAGATTATTATGTAGGGTGAGAAGCCAAACAACATAGAAATGTACTTTTCATCGTAACATTTTCAGTCTCTTGGTGATGACATTAAACATCAAAATGTTTGGAATTCGTTATCATAATAATACAGATGGAAATGTTTTTCAGTCACTTTGTAAAATAACTGAATATTTAGACGTTTAATAAATTTGTTACACATTTTGACAGTAAAAAAATATACACACTATAAAAAAAGCAATGCTCAGGTGAAATATTTACTTTGTGTTGCAAGTCGAAATAGTGTAAACAAAAATCGCAAAATTATCAAGCAAGTGACTTATTAAAACTTCGTCACCATTACCGATGCTACCCACAAAGATACCTACATTTCCTTATTATCTCGAAAACTGTATTTAATTTTGTTGATCAATGTGACCATACGCCCTTATTACTACCCATTGACTAATGCGCTTACGAATAGCGCAGCAGAGGTCGCGAACTAGTCTAGATTTCTGCTATGCATCCGGGTACTCACTGGGAAAAAACAATAACAAAGGCAACAACCAGTCCCGGGGAATTGCGTTAGATCAGTGCCCCTTTAACGCCAACCTCCATCATGCTCCAGCTTAGTCTTCAGCAAACCATGCATATCGTAAGAGGGGGAGACTATACTTGTCGTAAGAGGGGAGACTATGTATGTCGTAAGAGGGGGAGACTATGCTTGTCGTAAGAGGGGAGACTATGTATGTCGTAAGAGGGGGAGACTATGCTTGTCGTAAGAGGGGAGACTATGCATATCGTAAGAGAGGGAGACTATGCTTGTCGTAAGAGGGGAGACTATGTATGTCGTAAGAGGGGGAGACTATGCATGCCGTAAGAGGGGGAGACTATGCTTGTCGTAAGAGGGGAGACTATGCTTGTCGTAAGAGGGGAGACTATGTATGTCGTAAGAAGTGGAGACTATGCTTGTCGTAAGAGGGGGAGACTATGCTTGTCGTAAGAGGGGAGACTATGCTTGTCGTAAGAGGTGAGACTATGCTTGTCGTAAGAGGGGAGACTATGTATGTCGTAAGAGGGGGAGACTATGCATGTCGTAAGAGGGGGAGACTATGCATGTCGTAAGATGGGGAGACTATGCATGTCGTAAGAGGGGAGACTATGCTTGTCGTAAGAGGGGAGACTATGTATGTAATAAGAAGTGGAGACTATGCTTGTCGTAAGAGGGGGAGACTATGCTTGTCGTAAGAGGGGAGACTATGCTTGTCGTAAGAGGTGAGACTATGCTTGTCGTAAGAGGGGAGACTATGCATGTCGTAAGAGGGGGAGACTATGCATGTCGTAAGAGGGGAGACTATGTATGTCGTAAGAAGTGGAGACTATGCTTGTCGTAAGAGGGGGAGACTATGCTTGTCGTAAGAGGGGAGACTATGCTTGTCGTAAGAGGGGAGACTATGCTTGTCGTAAGAGGGGAGACTATGTATGTCGTAAGAGGGGGAGACTATGCATGTCGTAAGAGGGAGACTATGCATGTCGTAAGATGGGGAGACTATGCATGTCGTAAGAGGGGAGACTATGTATGTCGTAAGAGGTGGAGACTATGCATGTCGTAAGAGGGGGAGACTATGCATGCTGTAAGAGGGGGAGACTATGCATGCCGTAAGAGGGGGAGACTATGCTTGTCGTAAGAGGGGGAGACTATGCATGTCGTAAGAGGGGGAGACTATGCATGCTGTAAGAGGGGGAGACTATGCTTGTCGTAAGAGGGGGAGACTATGCATGTCGTAAGAGGGGGAGACTATGCTTGTCGTAAGAGGTGGAGATTATGTATGTCGTAAGAGGGGACACTTTGCTTGTCGTAAGAGGGGAGACTATGTATGTCGTAAGAGGGGAGACTATGTATGTCGTAAGAGGTGGAGACTATGTATGTCGTAAGAGGGGAGACTATGCATGCCGTAAGCGGAGGAAACTATGCATGCCGTAAGAGGGGGAGACTATGCATGCCGTAAGAGGGGGAGACTATGCATGTCATAAGAGGGGGAGACTATGCATGTCGTAAGAGGGGGAGACTATGCTTGTCGTAAGAGGGGAGACTATGCTTGTCGTAAGAAGTGGAGACTATGCTTGTCGTAAGAGGGGAGACTATGCTTGTCGTAAGAGGTGAGACTATGCTTGTCGTAAGAGGGGAGACTATGTATGTCGTAAGAGGGGGAGACTATGCATGTCGTAAGAGGGGGAGACTATGCATGTCGTAAGATGGGGAGACTATGCATGTCGTAAGAGGGGAGACTATGCTTGTCGTAAGAGGGGAGACTATGTATGTCGTAAGAAGTGGAGACTATGCTTGTCGTAAGAGGGGGAGACTATGCTTGTCGTAAGAAGTGGAGACTATGCTTGTCGTAAGAGGGGGAGACTATGCTTGTCGTAAGAGGGGAGACTATGCTTGTCGTAAGAGGGGAGACTATGTATGTCGTAAGAGGGAGACTATGTATGTCGTAAGAGGGGGAGACTATGCTTGTAGTAAGAGGGGGAGACTATGCTTGAAGAAGAGGGGGAGACTATGCATGCCGTAAGAGGGGGAGACTATGCTTGTCGTAAGAGGGGGAGACTATGCATGCCGTAAGAGGGGGAGACTCTGCTTGTCGTAAGAGGGGGACACTATGCTTGTCGTAAGAGGGGGAGACTCTGCTTGTCGTAAGAGGGGGACACTATGCTTGTCGTAAGAGGGGGAGACTCTGCTTGTCGTAAGAGGGGGACACTATGCTTGTCGTAAGAGGCGGCTAACGGTATAAGTTGGTCAGGCTCGCTGATTTGGTTGATGCCTGTCATCGATCCCAATTGGGTGGATCGATATTTATGATGTCAATCACTGGATTGTCTGGTCCAGACTCGATTATTTACAGACAGCCGTTGTGTAGGTGGAATATTGTGCGTCGGCATTAAACAACAAACAAACAAGCAGACCGCCGTCACGAAGCAGGAATATTGCTGAGTCGACATTGAACAACGTGCAAACAGAACCCCTTTTCACCACCCCTCGTCGCATTACAGGTTGATCTGCCCAACCCGAGCGTTGTGCAGACGGTGACGACAGCGGGACGTGACCCCGACCCCGTCAGCGGCTGCTGCAACCAGTGGGTGACGAAGTACACTGTACAGTACAGTCTGGATGGCACCACGTGGACAACGGTCACCGACAGCGCTGGAGCAGATAAGGTGAGCTACCAAATTAGACCCAGTCGTCTAAAGTGCCGCAATTCGCTCTGCAGTATTACTTTCATTGCATGTCCAACAAACCTATAGTCATGGGTTCGAATCCCGGTTCGACCTGATTATATTTCAAGGTTGGTTATGTTTTCCCTGCTGAGTCAATTCGGGCATTTCTCCCGCACGCCGTAATGTAACTGAAATACTCTTCAAATCGCTCCGCTAGACAAAGTCGGACATATTAATAATGGGTATTTTGTACTTTCGGTCACATCTGTGCTAGGTTTGATTTTGTGTCTCAACTTTCTGTGCAAAGATTCAAGAAATCTATTGGTCCAATTTCTTGGCCTAAAATTGTGGAGGTTGGGTTTCAAAATGGCCATTTTAGACCTTGTTAATAAAAGTCATCCATTTCATTAAAATTCAAAATTCGAACGAATTATGCACATGGTTTGAGTGTTGTTTGAAACATCAAATGTGTTTAAAAATTATTTGTTGTTAGTGGGTCAATACTTAGCTTTGAATGATTAAGGGTAATGTACCGTATAATTAAGCGATAAAAGTTTGTAATACTAATTTCAAAACGCAGTTTTTTATGAAGGGATTACCATTCAAGCCATTCCTCATAATTCAAACAGGTTTGAAATTCTTCTCAATGAAATAAAATAGGTTTACTGATAGAGGGCAGTTGAACAAATCCGCCACTATAAAAATCCAAGATGACCGACGACAAAATTGGGACCAATTAATTTCTTAATCGTTGTGGAATAGAAAATAGAATGCGCACTAAAAAAAATCAAATTTGAGTCAAGATTCCCACAAATCTAAACCACGTGACATTTCGCCCTATAAAATATTCGTGATACCTCGAGATGTGACACCAGGAAAATCTTCGGCCATCTTCGGCATTCGTCGGGATGATACAGCATCCGGTCATCTTCAAGATGCCATTTGGGGATGTCATATTTGTCTTCTGTCATCTCAAAACGTCGGATGTCACGTCAAACATTTCTTTTCTATTCACGTTCTCTTATTTCTTCGCATGAGTATATGCGGCCATTACATGTTGGTTGGCAGGTTTTCGACGGCAACACCGACTCCACGTCGCCTGTAACGAACAGTCTCGACTGTCCAATCATCGCCAAGTATGTCCGAGTCAGTCCAGTGGACTGGCACAAACACATCGCAATGAGGCTGGGCTTCAACGGCTGTAACATCGCATCTGGTGGGTGTCACATCAGCAAAACCACAGCTATATATCAGGGGTGACCAATAGGAATACTCTTAGTGAGACTTATGTTTGTTTGTTTGTTTGTTGTTTAACGCCGTACTCAGCAATATTCCAGCTATATGACGGCGGTCTGTAAAATAATCGAGTCTGGACCAGACAATCCAGTGATTGACATCATGAGCATCGACCCACGCAATTGGGATCGATGACATGTATCAACCAAGTCAGCGAGCCTGACCACCCGATCCCGTTAGTCGCCTTTTACGACAAGCATAGTCGCCTTTTATTGAGACGTATACACGAATCAGACTTAGATAGGAATCAGACACGTGATGGGAATAGGACACGTGATACTACTTCAAAAACGTGTTCTTTGACATGTGGAAGGTATATGTCTGTGTTTTTATTGTTTAACGCCGCACTCAGCAATATTACCGTAAAAAATCGAGTCGACCAGACAATCCAGTGGTTGACATCATGAGCATTGATCCACGCAGTTGCGTTACGATGACATGCATCAACCAAGTCAGCGAGCTTGACCACCCGATCCCGTTAGTCGCCTCTTACGACAAGCAAAGTCGCCTTTTACGGCAAGCATGGGTTGCTGAAGACCTATTCTGAACCGAATATTCACGGGTCGGCAGGTATATGAACATACAGCAGCTACCCCATGTCCACAAAGGTAGCAATAATGAAGAATTTATATTGTGCAGAAAGGTCCCCGCTTTCTTGTAGAAATAGAGAATATTATATATATATATTCTTGTATAGACTATGTTAACGACACGAGTGTCTGAATTCCGATATTTACCGAATGAAATATTTCCCGGGAAATACCGAAATTAAGCACCAGTGTCGAAAACACAGTGTGACGTGAACATATAATGTTCTATGTATTACCGAAGAAGGTATCTACAGAGACGAGTTTTAGTGCTTACCTGTAGGCAAGCGAAACCACAATATGTCTAGTGTGACGTCATTCCGACCTCACGTCACAATAAGATTCGAATGACGTCAACAATGCCGTCCGGATGACGGAAACAATACACCATTGTCACGTTACATATATCCCTAGGGCACATATGATTTTTATGAACCCTGATATGTTTGCCCTCGTAGGTAATAAATATAATCAACTAACTATACTTCGCCTAAATCGGCCTGCATCATACGTACAGTCCAGCAGGGCCAATACGGGATAGGAGGGCCAATATGGTCACCCTAGGGCCAATATGACTGACATTGGACCTGTAACAAGGCCAATACGAAAACAGCCATTTAATAACATAATAATATGACCCAAATTATAGTACAAGGGCCAAGGGTTAAATTAGTCAAACGGGAACAAACATGAACCACAAGAACAAGGTTGACCCCAGCCCGTTGATACAAATCAGTTTATTTGTTTGCTTTGTCAAGCTATATGCAAGCTGTATGATCGCGGTCTGTAAATAATCTTGACTAGACTATCAGTTTACTCTTTGAGTCTGTCAAATAAACACTTTAATCCCTTTTTTCATAAGGTGTTTTAAAGTGTTTTTTTGTTCCATTAGTACAATAAAAATGTGCTTTTCAAAAGTAACTATATCTGTTTTTATATCGTCCCCTAGGTAAAGCAACAGCTGGACCATCTACCACGGCACCTACAACACAGACAAGTAAGGGACCGTATATCAAACGCACTGAGATACCATGCCACATTTAAACACGGATACCCCACTCAGACACAGTTCTTGATATATTTTCTTAATGCCGAGCGCCAGGACGAATACTACCAGGTATAATCTTGTATGGCCTTTGTGTATGATGTGACCTGGGATCAAGACGTTCAATCCTCTACACCAAGACCTGTATGTGAGCGACACTGCTTCAAGATATACGTTTAACTGCAAGGGGGGACACTGTATATTTCATAACACATGTTTGTGTAGGGCATTCAACAGCGAGCTTTAGGGAGAGAGTAGGCACAAAAATCCATAATTTCATAGACATAACCTGCAGTTTTATTTGAATGCCCTTTCTGCACATACTGTCTTGGTATCCTTATTTCAATAATATTCAGCAAGAGTGATGTGTCTCTTCACCGCTATTAAACTGGACCGCCTCCGTGGTCTAATGGTAAACGTCCGCCCGGAGAGCGGAAGGTACGGCCGCGTCATACCAAAAGACGTTAAAAGATGGTACTTGTTGTTACCCTGTCTGGCTCTCGGCATAATGGGCTAAAACAAGGACTGGTCGGCTCGGAGTCAGTATACTGTGTCCGAGTGGGGTATTCATGTTAAACTCAGTGGGCTAGCACTATAAATCAGCATCAGTCCGGACGAGTGCAAGCAGCCACACGTACATGCACGTCGCTATATAAGTGCAATAAGGAATAAGGAAGACTCAGTACTCAGACCATCTTGAGGAACATACAGTGTGTTTGTTAACTTTTGTCCATGTGTATATGACAAAATGACAAATACACATAAATAATTCCCATTGCAGCCGTGGTTGCAGGGCAGCTTTCAACTGGCCGTAAGTACACTTATGTATTTTTATACAGTGCAGTATACACTCCATGTAGATACATGTATAGATATCATTGATGAAAGGTTAATCTTCATTTCCATTCATACCACAGCATGTAAGCTTAATGTGGGAGAAAAGTCCGAATTGTCCGCTTACCGCTTTGGTGAAACCCACTAGCACGGGTATGGTGCTGACAAGCCTAGAAACATTATCGGGCCAAACCGGGACTCGAATCCATGATCATGGGTTCCTGGCGTGTCTAAGGGACGCAACTCTGCTCAGCGAATTGCGGCGCCTTAGACGACTGGGTCCCCGTGTCCCCATACGTTCATAGAGTAACGAGTAGTTATCATAACAGTGATCTTCACTACCTTGGGTAAAATATAGGTTTGGATGTGCCTTCATCAAACTTACGTTCAGCTGAACTGCCTATATATCAAAACATTTTATCATATTTTACTTTCGTTTTGTAAAGTGAGCTTCAGTGCCTCTGTCAGCATCCTTTACAATGTATCCACATCACATCCTCGTCCCCTGTTTACAGAATGTGTCATCGACTGCAGCAGTAAAAGTGATGGATTCTACCAGTCCTGTCAGGGCTGTGATGTTTATGTCCGATGTGTCAACAAGCAGATCACGGACAACAACCCCTGTCCCCCCGGGACTGTGTGGAACGACAACATCAAGTTCTGTGATTCCAGCTCCCCCACCTGTCACGGTAGGAAGTTCACACTGAGCGATTCATTTTGAGGATAATGGTTTGGAACCCACAGTGAATAAGCATTGCCATTTCTTAAAAAAGGGGATGGTTTGTCAAAGACAAATTCATATCCGGCGTTGGGGTAGCCTATTGGTTAAAGCGTTGGCTCGTCACGCCGAATGCCTGCTGGAATAGTGCTGGAATAGTGCTGAAACCATGCTCACTCACTCACTCACTCACTCACTCACTCACTCACTCACTCACTAAAAGCATGTCGGTATATGCAACAGCTGAAAAAAACCTTTGTGAGCTTACAGAGAACACCCAACCTCGGACCTAAAGATATAGAGATTATTGCCCTCGTGTGTTTCCATATGTCAAAGGGCAAGTAAGGTGAAACAATTATCCCCTTATACATTTAGCCAGAGAGACAAATTCATAATATTCGTAATAAGCATTCAAACGTTTCAGTGAAAGTGCTGAAATCCCACGCTCCTTAATGGGCTGCCAAAACAAACCTACTTGGGGTTCGTGCCTAAACCACAAGAGAGACGTAATGTATTACAAAATCCCAGACAGAACAACGGGAACCAGTTTTAACCCCAGTCAGGGGATTCCCCTCAGTGGCGGAATTTTTCGTTTATGGACGATTTGGCCTTGTGTTTTATATCGTCTGTTTTACGCTATTTCCAAGTTTCAGTTTGATCAAGCATTTATTATTTAGTATGCCCTGGAGTATTAACATCTGAAAAGTTGCTATGTTGACTTTAATTGACCTTTCTGAATATGCATTGCGTTATGCGAGGCTTTGACGAGGATAATATATGTGTTATTCTTTGTGTATGATACTTACAATATGGAAACGCACGAGGAAAATAATCTCTTTATTGTATAATGTCATTCCTAAAATAATCCATGTTAAAGACGTATTAATACTAAATGAAGTGACTTATGAAAATGCGTATAAATGCAATGATTAAGTGAAAGCGCTTATTTTATCACATATAGTGCCAAATGATTCATTAGGAAGCCCCTAAACATACTGGGGAACTCAATCATTTATTGATGTATTGATCAAGGTGAGTTGAAATGGGGTTTAACGTCGCGGACAAGATTATTGCACTTATATAGCGGAATGCATGCACGTGTTTGTGTGTGGCTGCTTGTACTAGTCCGGACTGATGCCGATTTATAGTGCTAGCCCACTGAGATACCATGCCGCAGTTTAACATGAATACCCCACTCAGACACAGTATACTGTCTCCGAGCCGACCAGTCCTTGTTTTAGCCCCTTTACGCCGAACGCCAGGCAGGGTAACAACAAGTACCATCTTTTAAGGTCTTTAGTGTGACGCAGCCGGGGATCGAACTCCCGACCTTCCGCTAACCGGCGGACGCTTTACTACTGGACCACGGAGGCGGCTATATATTGATCAAGCAGACATTGCATCGATACTTAGAGCTTAAATGAAGTTTCTGTTGGCTGACCGCATTTGCATATTTATCGGATCCTGATGCCATTTTATTGGATCAGTTTTTCCATCGATAACACTATCCATTACATGATAATACATTCAGAGCAAAGGGGTAAACTGACCCGCCCTGGTGACCTATAGTCAGGGGCGTCACACCAAACACACACAGCTCACTTTACCTCTCTGTGGTTGTAGTCCCCACGAGCCCGACCACACCAGGATCCACAACTACAAGTAAGTCCTTATATTATACCCCTAGAAGGTTCCGCAAATACTCCTAACAATACACAGTCAGTGCAAAACTCTAAGAGTGGGTTCGAATCCCGGATGGGACTCAACCAAACAAATTACTAGAATTTGTACTTTACTAAGAAAGTTTTATCCCCAAAATAACATTTGTTACATTTGGATGTATGGATTGTAGCGTCAGACAATATACAAATTGGTTGATCCCTGTTGGGACAAGTGTGAGGTATATATCGATGGCTACAAAACACAAAATGAGATTTCAGGTTAATATTTCTTATTCGTGATTATAGAATATTGCACATCATTATAACGTCATGTGTGTGTTTATGTGGTATTAAGTTAACAGATAAATACAAAAATGTTTCTATTTTCTAATCTAGAGCTATAGCATTACATGAAGTCTGACAAGTGTATCCCGAGATTAGCAGGATACGAACATGACTGTATTAATATATAACTTGTCCAGTCTCAAAGTGTTTGCAGTAAAGAAGTCAGTAAACTACGGTTATAACGAACTCAAAGGAACCGCTAATTTTAGTTCGTTATAGCCGTAGTTTGTTAGAAGCATATGTGCAGCAAATGGCCGGGACCAAATAGCAGTTCGTTATATCCGTCAGTTCGTTATAAGCGTGTTCGTTATAAACGTAGTTTACTGTATTCTCGTATATGCTGTATACTGAAAACTCTGTTGAGAATCCAACAGGACGTCAACTAAATATCTTTTTGTACTTTTCTTTAACATGGTTTTTAATACGATTTTCCACGTGCGTTGAAGCCCCGTGCCGTAGCCCCTTATTACGTAAATGCTCAACACACGTGCCAACCTGCGTTAACATATATTATCTTTATGATTGCAGCAATGGCTCCAGGACAGCTTTCAACTGGCAGTAAGTGACGTGATGATGGTTGGTTGGTTGTTTGTTTGTTGTTTAACGCCGCACTCAGCAATATTTCAGCTATATGACGGCGGTCTGTAAATAATCGAGTCTGGACCAGACAATCCAGTGATTGACGCCATGAGCATCGATCAACGCAATTGGGATCGATGACATGCATCAACCAAGTCAGCGAGCCTGACCACCCGATCCCGTTAGTCGCCTTTTACGACAAGCATAGTCACCTTTTACGGCAAGTATGGGTTGCTGAAGACCTATTCTACCCCGGAATATTCACGGGTCGATGATGGTTAATCATGTGATCATTATAATGTTTAAGAATAATCTGGGATATTATTTTAATCACTAGTTCGCAAATACGACATTTATTGACATACTTTCTAATAGTCATGTAAGCGTTGATTCTTTTGATATTTTGTTAAAGGTATACACGGCAATTTCTGGAATGATTCTACAAAATTTAACCTGAAGGCATCTGCTCATTATAAGGTTATAGATGTACAATTTGAAAAGTGAGCTTCAGTGCCTTGGATACAATCTGTTTGAACATGTTGTCCTCAAAACTGCCCGTTTTGTTAAGTGAGCTTCAGTGCCTCTGTCAGCATCCTTTACAATGTATCCACATCACATCCTCGTCCTCTGTGTACAGAATGTGTCAGCGACTGCAGCAGTAAAAGTGATGGATTCTACCAGTCCTGTCAGGGCTGTGATGTTTATGTCCGATGTGTCAACAAGCAGATCACGGACAACAACCCCTGTCCCCCCAGGACTGTGTGGAACGACAACATCAAGTTCTGTGACTCCAGCTCCCCCACCTGTCACGGTAGGAAGATCATACTGAGCGATTGATCTTGAGGATAATGGTTTGGAACATACAGAGAACAAGCGTTGCCATTTTTTGAAAAAGGGGATGGTTTGTCAAAGACGTTAAATTCATATCCGGCGTTGGGGTAGCCTAGTGGTTAAAGCGTTGGCACGTCACGCCGAAGGCCCGGGTTTGATTCCCCGCATGGGTACAATGTGTGAAGCCCATTTCTGGTGTCCCCCGCCATGATATTGCTGGAATATTGCTGAAACCCTGCTCACCCACTCACTCACTCACTCACTCACTAAAAGCATGTCGGTATATAATCCTATTATAAATGTGGATGATTCGCTGTCTCATTATTTCCATGGTAACAGTTACAGTTCATTCTAATATTTCCATGGTTACACTTACAGCTCATTCCAATATTTCCATGGTTACACTTACAGCTCATTCCAATATTTCCATGGTTACACTAACAGCAATATTCCCATGGTAACAGTTATTGCTCATTCCAATACTTTTATTAAGTTACAATCGTTAACATTGAGATTGCCTCTAGCCCACATGTCCTTTTCCTGCATCGGGCCATGTCCAGTTCACGTTTCCTACCTATGTACAAATCCCATACGTTGTGACCGCCTCCGTGGTCTAGTGGTAGAACGTCCGCCCGGAGAGCGGAAGGTCCAGAGTTCGATTCCCGGCCGCGTCATACCAAAAGACGTTAAAAGATGGTACTTGTTGTTACCTTGTCTGGCGCTCGGCATTAAGGGGCTAAAACAAGGACTGGTCGGCTCGGAGTCAGTATACTGTGTCTGAGTGGGGTATTCATGTTAAACTGTGGCATGCTATCTCAGTGGCAATGTACATCGGCATAAGTCCACACTAGTACAAGCAGCCACACACACGTGCATGCACGTCGCTATATGAGTGCAATAATCTTAGACGCGCTGTAAAACCACATTTCACTTACCTCACACATACGTTGTGCAACAGAAACTACGACAACGTCCACCGTCGCACCCACGACTACGCCGGTGCAGACCACACCTACCACCACTCAACCAACAACGACTCCTACACCAAAACCCACGACCACACCAACACCACAACCAACAACGATTCCTACACCAAAACCAACCAGCGCACCAACACCACGACCAACAACGATTCCTACACCAAAACCAACCACCGCACCAACACCAAGACCAACAACGGTGCCAACACCTACGCCAACCACGACCACGACCACAACGTCATCAACAGTTCCCCCGACCACGCCTACACCAACGAAGCCAGGTATCGTATTTCTTTGTGTATAAATATAAATTAGTAGATTTCATATGTTGTGGGGGACCGCCTCCGTGGTTTAGAGGTAGAGCGTCCGCCCGGAGAGCGGAAGGTCCGGGCTTCGATCCCCGACCGCGTCATACCAAAAGACGTTAAAAGATGGTACTTGTTGTTACCCTGTCTGGCGCTCGGCATGAAGGGGCTAAAACAAGGACTGGTCGGCTCGGAGTCAGTAAACTGTGTCTGAGTGGGGTATTCATGTTAAACTGCGGCATGGTGTCTCAGTGAGCTAGCACTATAAATCGGCATCAGTCCGGACTAGTTCAAGCAGCCACACAAACACACACACGTAGATGCACGTCGCTATATAAGTGTAATAATCTTGAACGCGACGTTAAACCACATTTCACCTCACCTCACATCATATGTTGTGGAACGCACACCAGAGATTGTTGAGTGCGGTATTTATCTGAGTTTGACTTTGACATATTTTACAACTTAAAAGAGATCTTAGAAAACAAACATTAACAAGTCACTGTATGTTATCACAGTATATTGGTGTACCCTTTGCTGACAAAACAACTGCAGAATTTGACTTGTTACTTTTTTCTCCAGTCCAAATGCCCCAGCCATGGCGTGAGTATATGCTGTTGTTGAGACAATTGGCGCTAAAACATTCTTTAACTTGTCTATACTTCTGACTTCTGTGCTTGTGTCTGACCTCCTTCTTTGTTGCGTTATGTCTGACCTCCTTCTTTGTAGCGTTGTCTGACCACCTTCTTTGTAGCGATGTCTGACCTCCTTCTTTGTTGCGTTATGTCTGACCTCCTTCTTTGTAGCGTTGTCTGACCACCTTCTTTGTAGCGATGTCTGACCTCCTTCTTTGTAGCGTTATGCCTGACCTCCTTCTTTGTAGCGTTATGTCTGACCTCCTTCTTTGTAGCGTTATGCCTGACCTCCTTCTTTGTAGCGTAATGTCTGACCTCCTTCTTTGTGGCGTTATGTCTGACCTCCTTCTTTGTAGCGTTATGTCTGACCTCCTGCTCTGTAGCGTTATGTCTGACCTCCTTCTTTGTGGCGTTATGTCTGACCTCCTTCTTTATAGCGTTATGCCTGACCTTCTTCTTTGTAGCGTTATGTCTGACCTCCTTTTTTGTAGCGTTATGTCTGACCTTCTTCTTTGTAGCGTTATGTCTGACCTTCTTTGTAGCGTAATGTCTGACCTTCTTCTTTGTAGCGTAATGTCTGACCTTCTTTGTAGCGTTATGTCTGACCTTCTTCTTTGTAGCGTAATGTCTGACCTCCTTCTTTGTAGCGTTATGTCTGACCTTCTTTGTGGCGTTATGCCTGTCCTCCTTCTTTGTGGCGTAATGTCTGACCTTCTTCTTTGTAGCGTAATGTCTGACCTTATTCTTTGTAGCGCTATGTCTGACCTTCTTCTTTGTAGCGTAATAACTGACCTTCTTCTTTGTAGCGTAATGTCTGACCTTCTTTGTGGCGTTATGTCTGACCTTCTCCTTTGTAGCGTAATGTCTGACCTCCTTCTTTGTAGCGTTATGTCTGACCTCTTTCTTTGTGGCGTTATGTCTGACCTTCTTCTTTGTAGCGTTATGTCTGACCTTCTTCTTTGTAGCGTTATGTCTGACCTCCTTCTTTGTGGCGTTATGTCTGACCTTCTTCTTTGTAGCGTTATGTCTGACCTTATTCTTTGTAGCGCTATGTCTGACCTTCTTCTTTGTAGCGTAATGTCTGACCTTCTCCTTTGTAGCGTAATGTCTGACCTCCTTCTTTGTAGCGTTATGTCTGACCTCCTTCTTTGTAGCGTTATGTCTGACCTTCTTTGTGGCGTTATGTCTGACCTTCTTTGTGGCGTTATGTCTGACCTCCTTCTTTGTAGCGTAATGTCTGACCTTCTTTGTAGCGTTATGTCTGACCTTCTTCTTTGTAGCGTAATGTCTGACCTTCTTCTTTGTAGCATAATGTCTGACCTTCTTCTTTGTAGCGTTATGTCTGACCTTCTTCTTTGTAGCGTAATGTCTGACCTTCTTCTTTGTAGCGTAATGTCTGACCTTCTTCTTTGTAGCGTTATGTCTGACCTTCTTCTTTGTAGCGTTATGTCTGACCTTCTTTGTAGCGTAATGTCTGACCTTCTTCTTTGTAGCGTTATGTCTGACCTTCTTCTTTGTAGCGTAATGTCTGACCTTCTTCTTTGTAGCGTAATGTCTGACCTTCTTCTTTGTAGCGTTATGTCTGACCTTCTTCTTTGTAGCGTAATGTCTGACCTTCTTCTTTGTAGCGTAATGTCTGACCTTCTTCTTTGTAGCGTTATGTCTGACCTTCTTCTTTGTAGCGTAATTTCTGACCTTCTTCTTTGTAGCGTAATGTCTGACCTTCTTTGTGGCGTTATGTCTGACCTTCTCCTTTGTAGCGTAATGTCTGACCTCCTTCTTTGTAGCGTTATGTCTGACCTCCTTCTTTGTAGCGTTATGTCTGACCTTCTTTGTGGCGTTATGTCTGACCTTCTTTGTGGCGTTATGTCTGACCTTCTTTGTGGCGTTATGTCTGACTTCCTTCTTTGTAGCTTTATGCCTGACCTCCTTCTTTGTAGCGTTATGTCTGACCTCCTTATTTGTAACGTTATGCCTGTCCTTCTTCTTTGTGGCGTCATGTCTGACCTCCTTCTTTGTTGCGTTATGTCTGACCTCCTTCTTTGTAGCGTTATGTCTGACCTCCTTCTTTGTAACGTTATGCCTGACCTCCTTCTTTGTAGCATTATGTTTGACCTCCTTCTCTGTAGCGTTATCCCTGACCTCCTTCTCTGTAGCGTTATGTCTGACCTCCTTCTTTGTAGCATTATGTCTGACCTCCTTCTTTGTAGCGTTATGTCTGACCTCCTTCTTTGTAATATTATGTCTGACCTTCTTTGTGGCGCTATGTCTGAACTTCTTTGTGGCGTTATGTCTGACCTTCTTTGTGGCGTTATGTCTGACTTCCTTCTTTGTAGCTTTATGTCTGACCTCCTTCTTTGTAGCATTATGTCTGACCTCCTTCTTTGTAACGTTATGCCTGTCCTCCTTCTTTGTGGCGTCATGTCTGACCTCCTTCTTTGTAGCGTTATGTCTGACCTCCTTCTTTGTAGCGTTATGTCTGACCTCCTTCTTTGTGGCGTTATGCCTGACCTCCTTCTTTGTGACGTTATGTCTGACCTTCTTCTTTGTAGCGTTATGTCTGACCTCCTTCTTTGTAGCGTTATGTCTGACCTCCTTCTTTGTGGCGTTATGTCTGACCTTCTTTGTAGCGTAATGTCTGACCTTCTTTGTGGCGTTATGTCTGACCTTCTCCTTTGTAGCGTAATGTCTGACCTCCTTCTTTGTAGCGTTATGTCTGACCTCCTTCTTTGTAGCCTTATGTCTGACCTTCTTTGTGGCGTTATGTCTGACTTCCTTCTTTGTAGCTTTATGCCTGACCTCCTTCTTTGTAGCGTAATGGCTGACCTCCTTTTTTGTAACGTTATGCCTGTCCTCCTTCTTTGTGGCGTCATGTCTGACCTCCTTCTTTGTAGCGTTATGTCTGACCTCCTTCTTTGTAGCGTTATGCCTGACCTCCTTCTTTGTAGCGTTATGTCTGACCTCCTTCTTTGTAGCGTTATGTCTGACCTCCTTCTTTGTAGCGTTATGTCTGACCTCCTTCTTTGTAGCGTTATGTCTGACCTCCTTCTCTGTAGCGTTATGTCTGACCTCCTTCTTTATAGCGTTATGTCTGACCTCCTTCTTTGTAGCATTATGTCTGACCTCCTTCTTTGTGGCGATATGTCTGACCACCTTCTTTGTGGCGTTATGTCTGACCTCCTTCTTTGTAGCGTTATGTCTGACCTCCTTCTTTGTAGCGTTATGTCTGACCTCCTTCTTTGTAGCGTTATGTCTGACCTCCTTCTTTGTAGCGTTATGTCTGACCTCCTTCTTTGTAGCGTTATGTCTGACCTCCTTCTTTGTAGCGTTATGTCTGACCTCCTTCTTTGTGGCGTTATGTCTGACCTCCTTTGTAGCGTTATGTCTGACCTCCTTCTTTGTAGCGTTATGTCTGATCTCCTTCTTTGTAGCGTTATGTCTGACCTCCTTCTTTGTAGCGTTATGTCTGACCTTCTTTGTGGCGTTATGCCTGTCCTCCTTCTTTGTGGCGTTATGTCTGACCTCCTTTGTAGCGTTATGTCTGACCTCCTTTGTAGCGTTAAGTCTGACCTCCTTCTTTGTAGCGTTATGTCTGACCTCCTTCTTTGTGGCGTTATGTCTGACCTCCTTCTTTGTGACGTTATGTCTGACCTCCTTCTTTGTAGCGTTATGTCTGACCTCCTTCTTTGTAGCATTATGTCTGACGTCCTTCTCTGTAGCGTTATGTCTGACCTCCTTCTTTGTAGCGTTATGTCTGACCTCCTTTGTAGCGTTATGTCTGACCTCCTTCTTTGTAGCGTTATGTCTGACCTCCTTTGTAGCGTTATGCCTGACCTCCTTCTTTGTGGCGTTATGTCTGACCTCCTTCTTTGTAGCGTTATGTCTGAAGATCATGCATGTAGCGTTATGCCTTAAGACATGCATGTAGCATTATGCCTGAAGACATGCATGTAGCGTTATGCCTGAAGACATGCATGTAGCGTTATGCCTGAAGACATGCATGTAGCGTTATGCCTGAAGACATGCATGTAGCGTTATGCCTGAAGTCATGCATGTAGCATTATGCCTGAAGACATGCATGTAGCGTTATGTCTGAAGACATGCATGTAGCGTTATGCCTAACGCCATATATGTTTGTTGCACGACTTCTGCAATGTTATTTATGAAGGCATATGACTGTGGTGCTGCGTCAAACGACATATGCTAGCAGTGTTGTGCTAGCACTTCAATTGTTAAGCCTCAGTGCAAAAGCTTTCAGCGTAGAAGGCAGGCTGGAGGCGCTGTGTCCTAAGACAACGCCAGCAGTGTTATGCGTGAACACATATGCTTGAAATATTAAGCCTGAAGACGTTCCGGGACAAAGGTTTGCCAATGTGCGCTCTATGATTTACAGGGCAGTTCCACATCTTGGGCGGCACGGGTGGCCCAGTAGTCTAAGGCGCCGCGATTCGCTGTGCAGAGTTGCGTCCTTTGGGCACGCCAGAAACCTATGATTGTGGGTTCGAATCCCGGTTCGCCCCGATTCTGTTTCTAGGTTTGTCAGCACCATACCCGTGCTCGTGGGTTTCACCGAAGTGGTGAACGTCTGAGACCTGCATCACTTCGGGCTTTCCTCCCACATTAAGCTGACACGCCGTGATATGACTGGAATACTGTTAAAGCGGCGTTAAACCCAACTCACTCACTCACTCACTCTTGGACAAGTAAATATGTGCGGCGGAGTAATACCTTCTATATCTCAGCCACTTGGTGTCCTTGCGGAGAAATATAAAGCAAACTATCGAACAAAAATATAGTTCCTTGTATCCTAATTCATATTACCTTCCCCAGCATGTGTGAGTGACTGTAATGGAGTTCCTAACGGAGATTACCAGTCGTGCCGGGGCTGCAACATCTACATCACCTGCTCCAGCGGACTGACGTACGACGGCTTTAAGTGCCCGGCGTCGACCGTCTGGAATAACGACGCCAAGTACTGCGACTACACATCACCAACCTGCCCCTAGAGACGGCCGTTTTAACTGGCTGTTCCCTGTTGTCAGGGACAACAGACATGTGACAAGAAATCAGAATTATTATTGGTCGTCAAAATAATGTTAACAGACAAAATGGCGTCGGTATACGGTTTTTGAGTTTAAATAAAATGTATATCCATTTTAATTCTGAGAGTCTTAAAAAATGTCACATACGGGTCAATTTGGATAATTCCTTGTTTATTGCATTAAACCACCAACATTTGTAAAAAAAATGTAATAGTTTGATAAAAAGACCCCGATAACCAACATTCGGGTGAAGTAAATGCTAAATATACGAAAATTGAAAATCAGAAAGTGAAAATGAATTTCATTTCCGATTTTATAAATTTGATTTAACATCATGATCCACGCAGATCTGCGTCGACTTACGGTGTTCGTACGACCAAGATGGTTCAATATTCCCATAAAGAGATGCGGTTGAGGACCATCTTGTCAACATCCCATTGTTGTTAATACCTTGAGATTTTGTACAAAACAGAGAAAAACAGCTACAATAAAACATGGATCTTGCAAATGATTTGAATTGTCATGTTTAAAAGAAAATAGGACTCATCACACTCTCCGCAGCGGGCACGGGTGGCCCAGTCGTCTAAGGCGCCGCGATTCGTTGTGCAGAGTTGCGTCCCTTGGGCACGCCAGAATCCTATGATTGTGGGTTCGAATCCCGATTCGCCCCGATTATGTTTCTAGGTTTGTCAGCACCATACCCATGCTCGTGGGTTTCACCGAAGTGGTAAACGTCCGAGATCTGCATCACTTCGGGCTTTCTTCCCACATTAAGCTGACACGCCGCAATATAACTGGAATAATGTTAAAAGTGGCGTTAAACCAAACTCACTCACTCTTCGCATGGCGTTATAATTGTTGGGTGACAGGCTGATTTGGTAGGGTTGGTCAGTTCCTTTTGCGCCAAAGGTCATGTTTGGATCCAGCCTCCGTGTTGTACGGTGGGGATGTGGAGGGACGGGTTTGTGCTGCAATTGACAACTTTCAAACCCCGGATTGGTTACATTCACGCCGGGAACATAGATTCGTCGTAAGAGGTGACGAAATGGATCGGGTGATCAGGCTCGCTGGCATTGTTGATCACATGCAATCGTATCCCAAAGAAAGATCAATGTTAAGTTCTAATGTGCCTTGATATTGTTCTAGGGAAGGTTCATCAGCCTTCACATACAAACTGTTCACAGAAAGGTCTTAAATTCTCCAAGACAGAGCCTTAGATGAGGTGAGGCTAAATGGGGTTTAACGTCGCGTCCAAGATTATTGCAGTTATATAGCGACGTGCATGCACGTGTGTGTGTGTGTGTGTGTGTGGCTGCTTGTACTAGTCCGAGCGCCGGACAGGGTAACAACAAGTACCATCTTTTAACGTCTTTTGGTATGACGCGGCCGGGGATCGAACTCCGGACCTTCCGCTCTCCGGGCGGACGCTCTACCACTAGACCACGGAGGCGGTCACACAGAGCCTTAGGCCTTTGTGATGCACTGTGTCAATTTTTTACAACTTGCTTTTGCTGGCTCCACCACAGACAATGGAGCCATAAGCTAATACTAGAATGTTTTACTTACCTGTACAAGAGAAGGAGGGCTGTCTGATCCCATCGCCTCTCGGAATTTTAAACGACTTTAAAATAATCAAGAGACTTCGGTCACTCTGCCTTTAGATAGTTGATGTGTGGTAAGAATGTGAGATGACGGTCCAATGTAAGGGCGAGCAATTTGTCTTCCTCTACTACCTTGATTGGAGTACCATCTAAAAATAAATCTATAAATCTAGATCCTTGATAAATCACGATTTGTATATTCGACAAAAGTGAATGCAGTTTGTTTTGGATCTTGAAAATTTGAAGACATTTTCATTGGCATATTTTTTAATTTTGTTAAGACAGAGCTGTAACTGTTTTTCTATTGCGTGCAGCCAAGAAATGTTGGAATCGTCCACAAAGAGTGACGTATAAACAGAGATGTTTAAAACTTGAGTGAGACTACCAATTGCGATGATAAACAGTGTGACGGATAGGATACTGCCTTGAGAGACGCCATATGATCAGACACGGTTTAGCCCACATGTACGAGGTACATGTAATTGTCCGTTGTTTAAAAATTGAGATATGAACTGGGGCAATGTGCCCCTCAATCCAAATTCATGCAAATCTTTTAAAATACCATGTTTCCTCGTTGTATCATATGCCTTCTCAAGGTCGAAAATGATTGATACAGTATGTTGTTTGTTGATAATGGATTTCGTAACAAATAATTCTAAACGCACCAAATGGTCAATGGTAATTCTGTTTTGTACCTGGGCAGTTTGTAATTCGTGGAGTAAAATGTTTCATTGTAGTCCTCGCCATTATCAGAGCTGAAATTGAACTTTTTCTTTTTCTGCTGTTTTCGGTTTTGTATGAAACTGGGGGTTATTGTTGGATGAGGAGGAATGGTTTTCCAAAGTTTGTTGGCAGTTTCAGATTTAGTTGTTAATAGTTTGTTACCATTTTTCAGATTGTGATCCTTTGAATCTTTGAGTGAGTGACTGAGTTGAGTTTAACGCCGCTTTTAACAGTATTCTAGTTATATCACGGCGTGTCAGCTTAATGTTGGAGGAAAGCTCGAAGTGATGCAGGTCTCAGACGTTTACCACTTCGGTGAAACCCACGAGCACGGGTATGGTGCTGACAAACCTAGAAACATAATCGGGGTGAACCGGGATTCGCACCCACAATCATAGGTTTCTGGCGTGCCCAAGGGACGCAACTCTGCACAGCGAATTGCGGCGCCTTAGACGACTGGGCCACCCGTGCCCCCTTGAATCTTTGAAATCATGTTCCACCTTTGACATGTGTGCGGGAACTGATCTTAGATACATAATTCCTCAAGGATTGGCGTTTACTTTGTTTGAAATACGTCTCGCCTTGTCGCTTGTGATGTTAACGTTATTCACTCTGTGAAGGATGCAGGCGGAAATATTTCTCAGCTTTCTCCCAATTTTCTTAGCTTGTTCACAATCATTATTAAACCATGATTTAAGTATACAAGGGTTTGCAGAGGACTTAGGAATGCTTTCGTCTCCAACAGCATTTAATTGATCTGAAAACGGTTGTATAGGATCAGGAACATTCCTGAAAATTGTCAGGAGTTGCTCCAGAACATAGAGTGTTTGGAATAAAGACCAATTGGCCTTTGAAAATTTCCACCTTTTAGAAGGTGGTTTATCAGTGGGATCGATAGAATTAAGTATTAATGGAAAATGGTCACGTTTACAAAGGTCATCATGGGCTGACCATTCAAATATTTGAAGAATGTACTGGCAGAGTATGTGCCAGTATCATATCCATCATTGCAGTTGCATAAATCATTGTTTGCGATAAAATCTTGAAGGACTTTTCCCTTATTATCAGTACTCCCCCCATAGGGCATTATGACCGATTAAATCACCCACGATTATACAGGGCTTCGGAAGTTGATCAAAAAAGGTCCGAAGATCTGATTGACGGACAGTTGAGGACCAGACAATCATGAGCAGCGATCCACGCAATTGAGATCGATGATATGCATCAACCAAGTCAGTCGTAAAATTGTCGATAGTACTAGTGAGTGAGTGAGTGAGTGAGTGAGTATGGTTTTACGCCGCTTTTAGCAATATTCCAGCAATATCACGGCAGGGGACAACAGAAATGGGCTTCACACATTGTACCCATGAGTATTGGAGACCCTCCCGCTTTGCAATTGACACTGGGTCCATTTGGAAAACATGGGACTCACTAACATATTTTGATCAGTCGGCGAATACGGATTGCCCAACCTTAAGCAATATCCCAGCCATATGAATGGACTTCCCACAATGTACAGAGGTGAGACATCGAAATCATGTTTTTGGCACAAACGAGCTAGTGATTTAACCACTGGGCTCTCAACCAATCTGTCTGTTTAAAACATGGAATTCTTTATTCACACTCCAAACATATGGGTCATTCTTCTCAAGAATCCTCAATCGGTTTGTTGCTAAAGACTGTAAATAATCGAGTCTGGACTAAAAAATCCAGTACTGACACTATGATGACGTCACGATGACCAGCCATCAAACAACTCACAAAAACAATTTATTCTGTCGACTCTCACGGGGCGAGAGAGAAAAAGAGAAAAAAAGAGCGGGTGAGAATATTTTAAGCAGCTTTTAGCAATATTCCAGCAACATCATGTCAGATTTGTTTGGTTTGTTGTTTAACGCCGCACTCAGCAATATTCCAGCTATACAACGGCGGTCTGTAAATAATCGATAATCCAGTGATTGATAACATGAGCATTAATCCACGCATTTGGGATCGATGACATGCATCAACCAGGTCAGCGAGCCTGACCACCCGATCCCGTTAGTCGCCTTTAACGACAAGCATAGTCACCTTTTACGGCAAGCATGGGTTGCTGAAGACCCATTCTACCCCGGAATCTTCCCGGGTCTCATCATGTCAGAAGACCCATATTGTTCCCCGGTCCTCTCTCGTACAAGCAACACTTTTACCCTCCACACCCCACAGAACAAAGACATAAAACCAAAATCAATGAACAATAATGATTTATTGAACAGTTGGCTTGTTTAATCTTGTCGTTTTTTGATAACAACCATATCACAGATAGACTTACACAAGAGAGAGATATAGCCTGATTCTTCAGGTCTCTGAACACGGCCATCAACCACCACAGACCTTTCAAAACTTGCCAAGTAGCCACACTATCTCATATACACCCAGCGTCATAAAGAGTTTAAAAAATGGTCAGGAATAATTTCAAACAAAATGTCTCCAAACGAACTATCCAGCAATAGTACACTGGGACCAGGTAGTCCTAGGCAATGTGTGCTTAACTTGATCTAAATGTATCATTCAGTGAAGTATCCCTGTCAGGGGTTGTGAGAGAGCTTTGGTCAACTCAAGTAAACAGTGAGATTCATAATTCATACAAAACATCAGTTAGGGGTGCACACGTTTCTAGATCCACTTCGTGGCGTTACATGATCCAATGCCAGAATTTGAGATCATGGCCCATCCAACGAAGCCACTTGAGCCTTCAACCATCGTCCTGTCGAAGGCACGAACTGTAGTGCAACGACCATCATCACAAACTGTAGTGTAGTGTTGAGGATAACAACTCAGTGATGAATTTAGATTATGAGAATAGCCTTCCAACTGTAATGCCAGGCCACGTCATCAGTGAGTGAGTGAGTGAGTGAGTTAAGTTTTACGCCGCTTTTAGCAATATTCCAGCAATATCACGGCGGGGGACACCAGAAATGGGCTTCACACATTGTACCCATGTCGGGAATCGAACCCGGGTCTTCAGCGTGACAAGCTAACGCTTTAACCACTAGGCTACCCGACCGCCCCCCACGTCATCAGACTACAATTCGCTAACTGTTTTAGGATGTGTCACTATGCCTCAAAATGCATACAATCTGCAGCTCAGTGCCAAACCTCATTGGTCAAATTGAACTCATTACAATCTGCAGCCCAGTGGGAGACCTCATTGATCAAATTGAACTCAATTCAATCTGCAGCTCAGTGCCAAACCTCATTGGTCAAATTGAACTCAATTCAATCTGCAGCTCAGTGGCAGACCTCATTGGTCAAATTGAACTCATTACAATCTGCAGCTCAGTGGCAGACCTCGTTGGTCAAATTGAACTCAATTCAGACATATGGTACACATAGAATAACCAGATTTTGACAGCAATAAATAGTCCCTTTAAACTTTCTCGGACTAATACAATAGTGGTGGTCTATCCCCCATTACTTCCATCATAATTGTGCTCAAATTACTTTCTATAAAAATTCTTTTCAAGTCAACATTTCACAAACAACATGACTGATAACAGAAATATACAAAACATGTCTTCCTAGCATTGTCTATGGCTCCAGGCTTCTGAATCACCTGCACTGGCCGTTCTTGCCAAACTAAGCACCTCCATTCCAAAATTTTACCACAGCTTTTATACATCAGTGTTCGAAATACCTGCCTGCCCGACCGTCCGAGACGGGTTGATTTCAACTCGGGCTGCCAGATTTTCAAATCCCCCTGCCCGACGGTCGGGTTATATTTCATATGTGAAAATATTCAAAATATTTCCCCGATGATAAGCATTAATTCACATGTAAAGATGAATGATAAAATGTAACCAAAAAGAAACCCTGTTAGCTTATCCTGAGAAACATATGATTATAGTGGGCAGGCAGGTTTTGGTCAGGGCTGGCAAGTATTTCAGCTAGCCAGTCCTGTGGTCTGGCTGAAATTTTTGGGAGTTTCATACCCTGCTTTTATACATCAGAAACTAAACTGATGTACATTAACTATACTCTTTAACAGTTTTATTGAATTATTTTGCTTTTGATAGCTAATTCTATGACCATGATCAATTTACACAAAGGTGAGCTACCGTCACAAAAATCAGCAATATACACTCAAAGGCAAAGGTAACAGATTATATAATTTATTGTTTGTTTAATGCTGCACTCAGCAATATTTCAGCTATATGGTGGCCGTCACGCACATGTGGACCAGACAATCCAGTGATTGACATCATAAGCATCGATCTACACAATTTTGGATACGATGACATGCATCAACCAAGTCAGCGAGTCTGACCTCCCCGATCCCGGTTGTCGCCTCCGTGGTCTTGTGGTAGAGCGTCCGCCCGGAGACCGCCCCCGTGGTCTTGTGGTAGAGCGTCCGTCCGGAGACCGCCTCCATGGTCTTGTGGTAGAGCGTACGCCCGGAGACCGCCTCCGTGGTCTAGTGGTAGAGCGTCCGCCCGGAGACCGCCTCCGTGGTCTAGTGGTAGAACGTCCGCCTGGAGAGCAGAAGGTCCAGGGTCCCATTCCCGGCCGCGTCATACCAAAAGACGTTAAAATATGGTACTTGTTGTTACCCTGTCTGGCGCTCGGCATTAAGGGGCAAAAACAAGGACTGGTCGGCTCGCAGTCAGTATACTGTGTCTGAGTTGGGTATTCATGTTAAACTGTGGCATGGTATCTCAGTGAGCTAGCACTTTAAATCGGCGTCAGTCCAGACAAGTACAAGCAGCCACACCCACATGCATGCACGTCGCTGTATAAGCCTCACCTCACCCTCTGTATATCTTTGACTGGGATTGAAAGTAACCAGCGGATTCATTATTACAAAGCCAACACAAATTTTGCAACAGAAACAAAAGCTAAATGTGTAAAAACTGAATTTCTAAAGTAAACAAATCCTCAGAAAGACTATTTGGGTTAATGATTATTTACCCCAAGTAGACATGTTCTAGGAATGTGTTTGAATGAATGACACTGAGCACCATGTCAGTACAATCAGCTTGGTGTGTGAGGAGAGAGAGTGAGTATGGTTTTACGCCGCTTTTAGCAATATTCCAGCAATATCATGGCGGGGGACACCAGAAATGGGCTTCACACATTGTACCCATGCCGGGAATCGAACCCGGGTCTCCGGCGTGGCGTGGCGTGCCAACGCTCTAACCACAAGGCTACCACACCGCCCCTGGTGTGTTAGGAAAGCCTGCAATATTATAGTGAGCCGATACTTTTACCACTAGGCTACCCAACCGCCCTGAAAGCCTGCACTAGTGAGTGAGTATGGTTTTACGCCGCTTTTAGCAATATTCCAGCAATATCATGGCGGGGGACACCAGAAATGGGCTTCACACATTGTACCCATGTCGGGAATCGAACCCGGGTCTTCAGTGTGACTGGCCAACGCTTTAACTACCAGGCTACCCGACCGCCCTAAAAGCACTACAGCAGGTCATAGATGTTACAATCACTCATGTGAAACCCACATCTATGTATGACAAGTTGCAGCTCCGTAGGGGTGTGACACTCCCTGGAGAACACTGAGAAACAATAATACATGCACTGTCACTGATGCCTTTGAATATAACTTGCTGACACTGTAAAAAATAGGTAAATTTGTAACCTCAAAAGAGGGAAAGAAATATCAGCAAGGCAAAATGGCAAAAAGTAAAGCCTAGCTAGATCAAAAACGACTTTAAAAAACACATTGTATCTCAAGTCATTACAGAGAAACAAAACACCTCTCCATCTAAGATTTATCATTTCGTTTTTAACAAAACTGAATTAATATTTTCCCCAATTGTCAATAAATGAAGTCATCATACTTCCTTGAAACCCTAACTACTGTCTTTAGATTGAATACTCCTTGGAAATAATGTCAAAACTCATAAAAGTTACTTTCTGGGCAAATGATGATCACAAATGTATGCATATTTGTTAACAAATATAGAATAAACAATATACATAGGATTGGTGGTCTCCCTTTTTTCAAATGTGGAAGAGGGGTTGTTTCCCTTTCTACATAGAAGATGGGTTGTCTCCCTTTCTTGACATGTAGAGGATGGGTAGTCTCCCTTTCTTCCTAGTTCCTAGAATGGCCACGAGGTGCAGTATTTACACTGAGATCGTAGTACCATTGTTACAGAATATATATACACTTCACACTATGTTCATGATCATAAATAGAATGTATATATACATAGGTATCTACACTGCCGAAGAACCTGCACGTGAGATCAACAGCAAGCTGTGAGAGGATGATATATGACAGGAGCCTGTTTAAGCCCAGAAATTCAGCATCCTTTCAGAAATAACTTTTCAAAATCATTATAAAAATCATAAAATGAGTTCATTCCAATGTTTGTTTTTTACTTCCAAAACCCAAAGTGGATGAAGGTGTCATGAAGACTGATGTTGGAGGATTTCAAAAGTCATCTTCATCCAATATTTGTACAAGAGGATATCTTTGACCAAAGCTGAATTTGTTAGAAATGTACGAGTCAATCCAAACATGGTGAAACATCAACTGTGGTCCAAGACATTCTCTTTAGTTAGAACAATAAAAGTAGTTGGTCATACGAACACGATTCCAATGCAATTGGGCCATTTCATTGGGTCAAAACAGAACCCTGTCCTAGATCCTCCTTTCAGAGAAACAGTGAGTAGTCATTGTGTGAACGATGAAACATTGGCGAGAAATTCTCCTCTTAAACAAAGGCACATAACAAGCTTGATAAAAGGTTTTGTCAAAACCTTACTTTCTTATTTGGTGAGTGGAGAAGCACAAAATCCACTGTCCCAGGTTAAGATGCATGTACAGACGTGCCAGGCTTCCAGACCACTAGCTGTTCTGGTGTGTCTAGGACCGTCCCTCATGTCATGGTGGGCATAAAGTGAGTGAGTGAGTTGGGTTTAACACACCGCCTTTAACAGTATTCCAGTTATATCGCGGCGTGTCAGCTTAATGTGGGAGGAAAGCCCAAAGTGATGCAGGTCTCAGACGTTTACCACTTCGGTGAAACCCACGAGCATGGGTATGGTGCTGACAAACCTAGAAACATAATTGGGGAGAACCAGGATTCGAACCCACAAGCATAGGTTTCTGGAGTGCCCAAGGGACGCAACTCTGCACAGCGAATCGCGGCGCCTTAGACGACTGGGCCACTCGTGCCCCCTGTATAGGTTTGAATAAATCACTAGCATGACATTGTATCATCAAAAGTCTTTAAACCCTCCAATCACCAGCACTAACTGACTGAGGTCAATAACAAGATGAAATGACGGGAGATCGTGTTCAGACATAATGCTTCTGGCGGAATTTTCTCTAAAAATCGTACTGATTCTCACAAAAACTTAATGGTTAATCTTCCTGCCTGATCATCATTATCCGTCAGCTCTCAGGACAAGAAATCAAAATTGCTCTGGAATCCCCCCAATATATTGTTAAGGGTTAAAAATTCAAGGCATTTTCCTCTGTAATGTTGAAGGGCATGCAAATAAAATATTAAATATCATTCCATTCAAATGGTTACCGCATATCTGACTTGACAGGATGCAGCTGCTTCTTGGTAGGGAGATGCGTCAACAGTAACCGACTATAAAAAAATCACATACAGAAAAATTCTTGAACATATTTAGATCATTTCATCATTTTTTGTCAAGCTAGAAAAAGATGTGTGATTAACTTGAGAAGAGGATTGATTGTTGAAAGTCAAGGCCTTTTCAAAGCAGAATTGAAATTCCATGACTTCTAAAGACACTGACAGGACTAAAGGTTCCAGGCCTCTGGTGGCAATGTACAATCATCTATTTGGAACCGATATTTTATGTAATACTTTGCATAACATAGAAACAGCTTCACACTTCAACAACCCTGCTTGCCCAAGCCCTGGTAGTGGTACAATCACTCCCTACTTGCCCACGCCCTGGCAGTGTTACAATCACTACCTACTTGCCCTCGCCCTGGTAGTGGTACAATCACTACCTACTTGCCCTCGCCCTGGTAGTGGTACAATCACTCCCTACTTGCCCACGCCCTGGCAGTGGTACAATCACTACCTACTTGCCCACGCCCTGATAGTGGTACAATCACTACCTACTTGCCCACGCCCTGGTAGTGGTACAATCACTCCCTACTTGCCCTCGCCCTGGTACTGGTACAATCACTCCCTACTTGCCCTCGCCCTGGTACTGGTACAATCACTCCCTGCTTGCCCACGCCCTGGTAGTGGTACAATCACTACCTACTTGCCCACGCCCTGGTACTGGTACAATCACTCCCTGCTTGCTCACGCCCTGGTAGTGGTACAATCACTACCTACTTGCCCACGCCCTGGTAGTGGTACAATCACTACCTACTTGCCCGAGCCCTGGTAGTGGTACAATCACTCCCCGCTTGCCCACGCCCTGGTAGTGGTACAATGACTCCCTGCTTGCCCACGCCCTGGTACTGGTACAATCACTCCCTGCTTGCCCACGCCCTGGTAGTGGTACAATCACTACCTACTTGCCCACGCCCTGGTACTGGTACACTCACTACCTGCTTGACCACGCCCTGGTACTGGTACACTCACTACCTGCTTGCCCACGCCCTGGTACTGGTACAATCACTCCCTACTTGCCCACGCCCTGGTACTGGTACAATCACTCCCTACTTGCCCACGCCCTGGTACTGGTACAATCACTCCCTGCTTGCCCGCGCCCTGGTAGTGGTACACTCACTCCCTGCTTGCCCACGCCCTGGTAATGGTACAATCACTACCTGCTTGCCCACGCCCTGGTACTGGTACACTCACTACCTGCTTGCCCACGCCCTGGTACTGGTACACTCACTCCCTGCTGTACCTTCACACCGTCCACACGAGAGCCAACAACAAACAGAAACCTTGTGCAGTGGGGGAAAGGTAAGGATAAGATATATGGAAGAACAACTTCTTTATTACAAATGGGAGCGCGTTTCGGTGTAGGTTCTAGTGAGTGAGTGAGTGAGTTTGGTTTTACGTCGCTTTTTGCAATATTCCAGCAATATCACGGCGGGGGACACCACAAATGGGCTTCACACATTGTACCCATGTCGGGAATCGAACCGGGTCTTCAGCGTGACGAGCGAACGCTTTAACCACCAGGCTACCCGACCGCCCGTGTAGCTTCTAACTTGCTTCATAACGGTGTTAGAACCTGCACCGAAACGTCGCTTCCAATTGTAATAAAGAAGTTGTTCATCCATCTATCCTTACTTCGTACTCCAACTTCTAAATGCCTCTCAAGGAAATCACTGGGTAAAAGAAGGGTAAACCATTTCTTGGGAAAAACACAGACTTTCCAATTCACAAAGGACAATTTCTTCATGAAACAGAATTTTGTGCCGTGATAATTACTTTCTCCCTGACAATGGTTTCAAGACAATGGGAAGCCCCATGACGTTCTGGTACCGCAAGTATAAGATGCACGCATATATACTGAGATACTTTTGAATGTTTTTAGAAGTTCGTTGTCACTTAAAAAAACAAATTGATAAGGAATAAAGAAATAATTACAATAAAACTGTTCCTCTCTACTGACAAAACTGTCCCTCAAACAAGGGATTTATTTGTTGTGGCCTGGGCTAAGTACTTAGCACAAATCATACTCTAAATACTTACAACAACTCTAAAAGAAGAAATAGGATTAAATAAATAATAGTTTAAAATTTGTCCATCTTGCGATTAAAGGTGTGAAAGAATAGGAGATATGAGAATGATTTCCTAACGACTAATCACAACCATCGTGTAAGTAGGACTGAACCACCAACATGGGAGACGATGAGTATTATAGTGAACAGATGAATATATATACAGGCCAATGTATTTCCTCAAACACACAATTCAATCTCATTCTGGGCCTTGTTCAACAAAGCGATCATCGCAAGTCTACTAGAGTTATTATTGACTTGGCGCCAAGATCACTTTGTGGGGGCCAGGGCCCTGGAGGATAAACACTTTCAGAAATATGATGATGATGATGATGATGATGATGATGATGATGGGGATGAAATGTTTATTCTAGTTTGCTCTTGAAAGCTGAGGCAGGTGAACATGGCACATGCAAAAACTGAAATATATATCCCAAACAGCTTGTAACCTATTTAGTCAGGGAAAGTGTATGTAAGTTTGATACAAAATATCTGCATCTATTAAAGATTTGATTGGATTAAAGTAAAATATATTTTCAAAAGTTCCAACGGATCCAAATAAGTGAAGAAAAACAAATTTCAATGTTGGGTTGGCAATATCAACATCATGGCGGCCAGTATCACCGATTACGATAGAAATTAAAAATTTAAAAAAACTGACTGAAAAGGAAAAGAAAGCCGTCAAAATTCTTTTTGATGGAACAGATGTCTTCATGTCCTTTAAAACTGGCTACACAAGTCTTCCCATACCCATTCCCGATCTCGACATTATTTAAGATCACGAGAACCAGGAACACGGGTCGTGGGGTTAGTGTAGGTTCAGTGAAATACGAGCCCTGGAGACATGGAGGATGCAGCGAGGATGCAGCGAGGATGCAGCTGTCCAGTCCTGACTCAGATCAGAGATGCTGACAAACCAGCCCTCAGCTTCACCTCTCACAGAACTACTGCTTAAAATCTTCTCTGAGTTTCCCACAACTGAGGGCTACAAGCAATTTGAAAGGAAAAAATAAATCCGTAACTAATATCCATAATAATCCTGGCAACAACAACAATGAAAATGATGATGATGATGATGATGATGACGATGATGACGATGATGTTAATGACGATGATGATGATAACGGCAATGATTAAATATAGAATTTCTGGCATTCTGGATTCACACGTTCCCACGAGAGCCGTCTCACACATTGGAAGAGAAAGCCTATGAGTGCACACTTTGGTCAAAGTGACAACTAGCCTTTGCTTAAAAAGAAAGAAACACAAAATACACGATGGATCTCAGTCGTTGGTGGAGAAAGTGTGACTAATCTCAGCTTTTTTCTCAACAGTAGTCTTTGGCCAAAAAACAGGCCTTACTAGCAGACTCTAATGCAATGCCATGGATGCGGAACACCAGTGAACACAAGCTATCATGTTGCTTAAATAGCATTTTACAGAGTTGCTGCCACAAAGTCCAAAGCACATCTTTCTTCACCATTCCAGGTTGAATCATCTGACTTTTCAGGGCATATTCCACGACCTTGACCTTGACCTTGACCCCACACCTAGCTTGACCTGACCTGGGTCCTGGCATTATGTGTCAGTCTGTCTTTAGACTTCAACTGGACTGTTATGTCTCTCAAAGCTCACGCATGGCTGTTTAGATGGCATGACCTTGAACTCTTTGGGGTGACCTTGACCCTGATGATGAGTGCAGGATACATGATGATGAACTATGACATAGGGGGTTATGTCGTACGTGCTATGCATCCCGAGTTCTCGCAACATCCACAACACAGGTAGACGCTGCTGAGAGGAAGTGACTCTTTCCATATGACCTCTTAAGCCTTCTATGTGACCTTCAAAACAAGGTCAAGGTCACCCTGATTGTCTGCTGTGGCCATGATAGACTTGTACTGATAGTAGAGTTCATTCATGTCTGTGATTCGGACTGATGGTGTCCTAACTGACCGTGTCTCTGATGCGGGCTCGAACAACTTGGAGAGAATCTCTTGCAGCTTCTCAACCTTGTATTCTGAAACAGCAACACAAAATCTCAGATGAGCAACTTGCATCCCTGAGGTGAGGTGAAATGGGGTTTAACGTCGCGTCCAAGATTATTGCACTTACATAGCGACGTGCATGTACGTGTGTGTGTTTGTGTGGCTGCTTGTACTAGTCCGGACTGATGATTTATAGTGCTAGCTCACTGAGATACCATGCCATAGTTTAACATGAATACCCCACTCAGACACAGTATACTGACTCCGAGCCGACCAGTCCTTGTTTTAGCCCCTTAATACCCTTAACGTCTTTTGGTATGCTGTGGTCGGGGATCAAACCCTGGACCTTCCGCTCTCTGGGCGGACGCTCTACCACTAGACCACGGAGGCGGTCTCTTGCATCCCTGAAGCCTAGGATCATGTGTTCAAATTCCAGATTCTTTACCAGGATCACACCAATGCCTCAGGGATTTACCGAAGTGGAAGACTTGCATCACTTTTTCTCACACACCAAGCTCGCATGCCATGATACAACTAAAATAATGTTCCGAGGGCGTTAAACCAAACTCACTAACTCAGATGTGTAATCAATATATTGAGACAGAAATATGTGATATGTAAATGTCGATCAAAGTTGGTTGGTTGGTTTGTTTGTTGTTTAACGTCGCACTCAGCAATATTCCAGCTATATGACGGCGGTCGGTAAATAATCGAGTCTGAAACCAGAGAATCCAGTGATTAATATCATGAGCATCAATCCACGCAATTGGGATCGATGACATGCATCAACCAAGTCAGCGAGCCTGATCACCCGATCCCGTTAGTTGCCTTTTACGACAAGTAGAGTCACCTTTTACATCAAGCATGGGTTGCTGAAAACCTATTCTACCCCGGAATCTTCACGGGTCTTTGGATCAAAGAATCATTCAGCAATATTTTCAGCAAAAGCCCACTTAGATCCCGTGCCACAGTCATGGTTAAAGCACTCAGACTCTGCACACAGACTCCGTGCCTACCAGTCCTTGTCTCGTCCCCTTACTGCCGAGCAACAGGCAGGGAAACAAGAAGTACCATCTTAAAACATCTTTTGTTATGTCGGGGTCCGGGAAGATGCATTATTGACTACAACATGGAAATGGGCTTCACACTTTATACCCATGTCGGGAATTGAACCCGGGTCTTCGGCGTGAACGCTTTAACCACTAGACCGCCCCGAACTGGGATTTGAATCCACAATCATAGGTTTATTGCGTGACCAGGGGATGCAACTCTTCAGAGATTGCGACTGTCAAGCCCCCAGAAACAGCAAGGTATGAGTGACATGATTGGTTGGTTGGTTTGTTGTTTAAAGCCGCAATCAGCAATATTCCAGCTATATGACGGCGGTCTGTAAATAATCGAGTCTGGACCAGACAATCCAGTGATTGATTTCATGAGCATCAATCAACGCAACTGAGATCTATGACATGCATCAACCAAGTCAGCGAGGCTGACCACCCAATCCCGATAGTCGCCTCTTAGGACAAGCATAGTCGCCTTTTACGGCAAGTATGGGATGCTGAAGACCTATTCTACCCCCAATCTTCATGGGGGGAGACAAGCATGGGTTGCTGAAGACCTATTCTACCCCGGATCTTCATGGGGGGAGACAAGCATGGGTTGCTTAAGACCTATTCTATCCCGGATCTTCACGGGGGGAGACAAGCATGGGTTGCTTAAGACCTATTCTACCCCGGATCTTCACGGGGCATAAGTGACATGAAGATGAAGCTGTCTCACCATCCAGGTCCTGCCCCAGGAATGAACACCATCTTTCCCTCATCTCCTCTGCTGAAGCCGTGTCGTCCGAGAAGCCCGACAGGAAGAGAGCTGGCATGGAAGGCAGCACCAGGTCCATCATAGTCGTCAGCATCTCGGAGATGTCATCCTCCGCCTCGAACATCTGGGCGGACCACGCGTTCAGTTTCTGTGACATGAACATGACATGACATGATAGCTTCATCTCAAATGACTTCCTCCCATTAACTTATTCTCTTGTTTCGTTTGTTGTTTAACGCTGCACTCAGCAATATTCCAGCTATATGACTGCAGTCTGTAAAGGATCAAGTCTGGACCAGACAATCCAGTGATTGACATCATCAGCATCGATCCAGGCAATTGGGATACAATGACATGCATCAATTAAGTCAGCGAGTCTAACCACCCAATCCCTTTTCGCCTCTTACGACAAGCATAGGCACCTCTTACGACAAGCATAGTTGCCTCTTTACACAAGCATGGCTTGCTGAAGACCTATTCTAACCTGCATCTTCACCGGTCTAAACTTTATTCAATAACAACATACTGTGACATTCACCTACTGTGAAGTATTCAGCCTCATGAATGTACAAAAACATTACCATTGTGTAAATAACACTTTACAGACAGTTTGACAACAAACCAGTGGTTAATATGATGAGCAACAGATTAATGCCCATGCTCCACTCAGCTGTTTACTCCCCACATTCTGCCCCGACATCTACTCACCTCTAAGCATTCCCTCTGGTAGAAGGCCACCAACTGTTTACTCCTCCCAAAGTCCTGCCCCGACATCTACTCACCTCTAAGCATTCCCTCTGGTAGAAGGCCACCAACTGTTTACTCCTCCCCACATTCTGCCCCGACATCTACTCACCTCTAAGCACTCCCTCTGGTAGAAGGTGAGGTGAAATTGGGTTTAACGTCGCGTCCAAGATTATTGCACTTATATAGCGACGTGCATGCACGTGTACGTGTGTGTGTGGCTGCTTGTACTAGTCCGGACTGATGCCGATTTATAGTGCTAGCTCACTGAGATACCATGCCGCAGTTTAACATGAATACCTCACTCAGACACAGTATACTGACTCCGAGCCGACCAGTCCTTGTTTTAGCCCCTTAATGCCGAGCGCCAGACAGGGTAACAACAAGTACAATCTTTTAACGTCTTTTTGTATGACGCGGCCCGGGATCGAACCCTGGACCTTCCGCTCTCCGGGCGGACGCTCTACCACAAGACCACGGAGGCGGTCTCTGGTAGAAGGCCACCAACTGTTTACTCCTCCCCACATTCTGCCCCGACATCTACTCACCTCTAAGCATTCACTCTGGTAGAAGGCCACCAACTGTTTACTCCTCCCCACATTCTGCCCCGACATCTACTCACCTCTAAGCATTCACTCTGGTAGAAGGCCACCAACTGTTTACTCCTCCCCACATTCTGCCCCGACATCTACTCACCTCTAAGCATTCACTCTGGTAGAAGGCCACCAACTGTTTACTCCTCCCCAAGTCCTGCCCCGACATCTACTCACCTCTAAGCACTCCTGCCCCGACATCTACTCACCTCTAAGCACTCCTGCCCCGACATCTACTCACCTCTAAGCACTCCTGCCCCGACATCTACTCACCTCTAAGCATTCACTCTAGTAGAAGGCCACCAGCTGTTTACTCCTCCCCAAGTCCTGCCCTGACATCTACTCAAGTCCTGCCCCGACATCTACTCTCCTCTAAGCATTCCCTCTGGCAGAAGGCCACCAACTGTTTACTCCTCCCCAAGTCCTGCCCCGACATCTACTCACCTCTAAGCATTCCCTCTGGTAGAAGGCCACCAACTGTTTACTCCTCCCCAAGTCCTGCCCTGACATCTACTCACCTCTAAGCACTCCTGCCCCGACATCTACTCACCTCTAAGCACTCCCTCTGGTAGAAGGCCACCAACTGTTTACTCCTCCCCAAGTCCTGCCCCGACATCTACTCACCTCTAAGCACTCCCTCTGGTAGAAGGCCACCAACTGTTTACTCCTCCCCAAGTCCTGCCCCGACATCTACTCACCTCTAAGCATTCACTCTGGTAGAAGGCCACCAACTGTTTACTCCTCCCCAAGTCCTGCCCTGACATCTACTCACCTCTTAGCACTCCTGCCCGGACATCTACTCACCTCTAAGCATTCCCTCTGGTAGAAGGCCACCAACTGTTTAGTCCTCCCCAAGTCCTGCCCCGACATCTACTCACCTCTAAGCATTCCCTCTGGTAGAAGGCCACCAACTGTTTACTCCTCCCCAAGTCCTGCCCCGACATCTACTCACATCTAAGCATTCCCTCTGGTAGAAGGCCACCAGCTGTTTACTCCTCCCCAAGTCCTGCCTCGACATCTACTCACCTCTTAGCATTCCCTCTGGTAGAAGGCCACCAGCTGTTTACTCCTCCCCAAGTCCTGCCCCGACATCTACTCACCTCTAAGCACTCCCTCTGGTAGAAGGCCACCAACTGTTTACTCCTCCCCAAGTTCTGCCCCGACATCTACTCACCTCTAAGCACTCCCTCTGGTAGAAGGCCACCAGCTGTTTACTCCTCCCCAAGTCCTGCCCTGACATCTACTCACCTCTAAGCACTCTCTCTGGTAGAAGGCCACCAGCTGTTTACTCCTCCCCAAGTCCTGCCCCGACATCTACTCACCTCTAAGCACTCCCTCTGGTAGAAGGCCACCAGTTGTTTACTCCTCCCCAAGTCCTGCCTCGACATCTACTCACCTCTAAGCATTCCCTCTGTTAGAAGGCCACCAACTGTTTACTCCTCCCCAAGTCTTGCCCCGACATCTACTCACCTCTAAGCACTCCCTCTGGTAGAAGGCCACCAACTGTTTACTCCTCCCCAAGTTCTGCCCCGACATCTACTCACCTCTAAGCACTCCCTCTGGTAGAAGGCCACCAGCTGTTTACTCCTCCCCAAGTCCTGCCCCGACATCTACTCACCTCTAAGCACTCCCTCTGGTAGAAGGCCACCAACTGTTTACTCCTCCCCAAGTCCTGCCCCGACATCTACTCACCTCTAAGCACTCCCTCTGGTAGAAGGCCACCAACTGTTTACTCCTCCCCAAGTCCTGCCCGGAGATCTACTCACCTCTAAGCATTCCCTCTGGTAGAAGGCCACCAACTGTTTACTCATCCCCAAGTTTTCACTCTTGCCCTCGATCACCTCAGTGTTGTAATGCCAAGCTATGTTAAAGTAAGGCATTGCTTCTGCAAACCTGCAATAAAACACAAGGGCTGTAGTCTAACTCATCTCACCTTCCCGAGGCTAGAGAGTTAACGGACTATAAAAGTCCAGTATTCACCCTTGCCGAACTAGGCTGGTATTATGGAGTTACATGATGGCTGGATTAACGAGTCTATGCATAGTCCAATCAAAATCGCGCACAGAAATCGAAATCAGGTTCATTAACTGTTGAGCAGATTTCGGTCGATTTCAGGATTTGCAAAACATGTGCACCGCCAACTCGTTGTCGGCAGATATTTCCCAAATCTTTTCATGTTTTTAATCAAGGTGCTCACGTGATTTGATGTATTTCGCGATGTAAGACCCGTTTTATCACAATACAGATCTTGATTATCGATCAGATCCTCCTGACTGGGCGCCACCATTCGGTAAAACAAACGCAAGTGATACGAGAGGTGGAATCTCATTGGTCCATAGGAGAGGCTTAGAGGGGACATAACTGGTAAAAGCCACTGGTTGCGCTATGATCGAGCCAAGTAGTTCTAGCCTAGTTAGGCAAGGGTGGAGACTGGACTTTTAAAGTCAGTTTACTCTCTTGCTTCGGGAAGATGAACTCATCTAGCCTGACCCACAACCTCCTGTATTATTTCAGGGCTGCACAGTAATGTTCATGTATGCAGTGTCTAACACTCTGACATATTGAGTGAGTGAGTGAGTTGGGTTTAACGCCATTTTAACAGTATTCCAGTTATATCGCCGCGTGTCAGCTTAATGTGGGAGGAAAGCCCGAAGTGATGCAGGTCTCAGACGTTTACCATCTAGGTGAAACCTATGAGCACGGGTATGGTGCTGACAAACCTAGAAACATAATCGGGGCGAACTGGGATTCAAACCCAAAATCATAGGTTTCTGGCGTGCCCAAGGGACGCAACTCTGCACAGCGAATTGGGGCGCCTTAGCAACTGAGCCACCCGTGCCCCCCGTGCCCCCCGTGCCCCCGGCCACATGTTGAACACAACATCAACAAGAGACAAGGCAATCCTGTCAAGTTAGACTGAATTCTTTAAAACACCAACTGGGCGGTTGGGTAGCCTAGTGGTTAAAGCGTTCGCTCGTCTCACCGAAGACCCGGGTTCGATTCCCAACGTGGGTACAATGTGTGAAACCTATTTCTCGTGTCCCCCCCCCAGTGATATTGCTGGAATATTGCTAAAAGCGGCGTAAAACAGTACTCACTCACTCACCAACTTGATGTAGATCAATCTGACACAGTCTAACGCCACACACTGAATGTTCCAGCAACATGATGGCTGCCTTTAAATAATTGAGTCTAGGCCAAACAATCCAGTGATCGATATTGTAAGCAGAGACAAGACACTGAGCCCGACCACCAATCCATTTGGCCACCTCTTACCACCAGCATGGTCGGGGTAATTCTTACCCAGACCTTATATATTGCAACTCATTACTCGACCTGGACATCAGCACCTGGGGTAGAGTAAACCTTTAAGAATTAATTCAACATGCTACACATTATCATCTATTTTAGTAAGGTCACTACTCTTTGAAATTAATATGCAGCCAGTGTCAAAAACAAGCTCAAACCTGACGCCGATTTTGTCATGCATTCTTGTGTTTTGCCCTGTTATTTTCGGAATGCTTATTTAATGAAGTTTATTTAAGAGGTGTTTACAATCATTTGTAGGGTTCTTATAGATAGATCACATCTGTAATCATGTATAGATGGACAATTGATAAAACCCCGTCTTGAGGAAAGACTTGATGTAACTATTTAACGTTGATTGTGTCAGATGGAAAACTGTGCAGGTCCATTAAGCTCCATTTGTCATCGTAATACAGTAATTTTCTGATTAAAATAGTAATGACTAAATCGTCATAGTGGGCAGTTCGGGGGGGGGGGGGGGGGCAGCAATTAATCGAATTAGGTTCAGTTGGTTGGTTGGTTGGTTTGTTGTTTTGCACTCAGCAATATTCCAGCTATATGACGGCGGTCTGTAAATAATCAAGTCTGGACCAGACAATCCAGTGATTGATATCATGAGCATGGATCCACGCAATTGGGATCGATGACATGCATCAACCAAGTCAGCGAGCCTGACCACCCGATCCCGTTAGTCGCCTTTTACGACAAGCATAGTCACCTTTTACAGCAAGCATGGGTTGCTGAAGACCTATTCTTCCCCGGATCTTCACGGGTCAAATCTGGTTCAGAAAAACATGGCCGAAAACCACAGAAACGATCAGCACTTTCAGGTCACGATGACCTCAGCCAGATGACATCAGCCAGGTCACCCACTGAGACCACCCATGTATGGGGCCTTTTCTAAACGGGAATCAGTGTGTATGGTCTTAGCAATATTGCAGCAATATCATGGCGTAACACCAAAATGAGCTTGACACAATGTACTCATGTGGGGAATTGAATCCGGGCTTTCGGCGTGACGAGCGAAAGCTTTAACCACGAGGCTATTAACACAGGGAACTTTCATCAGATCCAATGACTTTAGGTGAGATTATCTTACCTTTCTTTATAATACGCTTCTAATCCTTTAACAAAGAGGTACACCACTTCCCTGAACTGATGGTACTTCCGATGCCAGGCCTGAAACAGAACAGGGATGAAAAAGTGGGATGTTTCAAAATAATTGAGTCTTGACCAGACAGTACAGTGATTGACATCGTGAAGAAGAATTTCCAAAGTATATAGACAATACACAAAAAGTAGATTATTTGAAATGTCCACGTTCTATTCGTGCAATCAATATTTAAGTTACATTCTCTGTTACACACTCAGATTACAGCCAACATGGAATTCAACAGAAACCTCTGGCTAACACGTTCAAAACGAAATTACCTTACATCAAATACTAAATAAATTCCCGAAACAGAAACACCTAATGTTTATCTCTTAATTTGATACCTCATGTATCCTCAGACCCTGCTAGATATTCTCTCCAAATTACCTGACATCAAATATTCAATAACATCCCGAAACAGAAACACCTAATGTTTATCTCTTAATTTGATACCTCATGTATCCTCAGATCCTGCTAGATATTCTCTCCAAATTACCTGACATCAAATATTCAATAACATCCCGAAACAGAAACACCTAATGTTTATCTCTTAATTTGATACCTCATGTATCCTCAGACCCTGCTAGATATTCTCTCCAAATTACCTGACATCAAATATTCAATAACATCCCGAAACAGAAACACATAATGTTTATCTCTTAATTTGATACCTCGTGTAGCCTCAGACCCTGCTAGCCCTTTTCTCGAAATTACCACGCATTAAATTATAAAAGAATTTTCGAAACAGAAACACATAATGTTTATCTCCTCATTTGATACCTCGTGTAGCCTCAGACCCTAACCATTTTCTCGAATTTACCATGTATTAAATACTAAAAAAAATCCCCAAACAGAAACACGTAATGTTTATCTCCTAATTTGATACCTCGTGTAGCCTCAGACCCTGCTCGCCCTTCTCCTGTTGGATGGTCGTCATCATCTCCTGAGCTGCCGCACGTAAAGACTTCGTTCTGAAACACAGGAGGAGCATATCCTAATGTCTGTTTGTTGGTTCGTGTCGCAGTCAGCAATATTCCAGCTTTGTCCCATAATTGATTAATGCAGTCTGGACCAGACAATCCAGTGATTGATATGAGCAGTATCCATGCCTTCCTGCATATTGACACGCTATCAGTCACCGAGTCTGACCACAAATCTAATTAGTCACCTCCTATGACAAGCAAGGTATACTGAATGTAAGTAATAACACTTTTAGCAATATTCCAGCAGCGGACACCGGAAATGGGCTTTACACATTGTACCGATGTGGGATTCGAACACACTTGAAACGGATGGATTAAGCATCAGTCTGGCCGAGGAACAAGTGGTTGAAAGCATGAGCAAAAACACAAAACTGTTGGGGGGCTATGACACAGAGTCAAGAAGATCCCAAATGGAATTTGTGGAATTACCCAAATTGTTTTTGGTTTGGTTTGTTGTTTTACGCAGCTATATGACGGCGGTCTGTAAATAATCATAGACCAGACAAGCCAGTGATTAATATCATGAGCATTGATCCACGCAATTGGGATCAATGACATGCATCAACCAAGTCAGCGAGCCTGACCACCCGATCCCGTTAGTCACATTTACGACAAGCAGAGTCACCTTTTACATCAAGCATAGGTTGCTGAAGACCTATTCTACCCCGGATCTTCACGGATCCAATACTGTTGTGGGGCTATGACACCAAATCAAGAAGATCCCAAGTAGAGTGTGTGGAATTACCCAAATTGTGAACTGTCCCTGGGTGATTAAAACAGCAAACATTCATTTGTCTAGAGTCGAAGTCTTAATTGTCATAATGTTTCAACACAAACTTGGTAATTTACAGCCCACGATTTCGTTTTGACATAAATGAATCAGTTTTCGTATCTTCCTGGCTTTTTGAACAGCCACTGCGATCTGCCATGACTATTTACAATAAGTTGCAAAATCCAAAACACATGCTCAAGCACGATCGAAATCCGAACGTGAAAGTGAAAAATACGCTGTAGTCAGTGTGATTGGTCCTACTCAATATGTTTACACTTTTTCAAAACTATATTCAGTACTTGTCACTCACCTCTGTTCGTGGTCCAGCCTGTTCAGGTATGTGATCTGCTCCAGCAGCACCCACTTCTGTGTGTCCTCGTCCGTCCCGTTCATGAACAGATACAGGCTCACCATCCGCAGCCGCAGGTCGTCAAGAGGCTTCTTGGGAAACTGTTTCTCCAGCTTGGCCAGACTCCTTAGCTCACCCATAATGATCTGAAAGATGGACACCAGTTTGTAAATATTGACTGACAGTGTTCAAAATAAGGCCTGAAAGTCCTCAGCTCCATATAATGATCTGAAAGATGGACACCAGTTTGTAAATTCTCAAATTATTGACTGACAGTGTTCAAAATAAGGCCTGAAAGTCCTTAGCTCACCATAACGATCTGAAAGATGGACACCAGTTTGTCAATTCTCAAATTATTGACTGGCAGTGTTCAAAATAAGGCCTGAAAGTCCTTAGCTCACCATAACGATCTGAAAGATGGACACCAATTTGTAAATTCTCAAATTATTGACTGGCAGTGTTCAAAATAAGGCCTGAAAGTCCTTAGCTCACCATAACGATCTGAAAGATGGACACCAGTTTGTCAATTCTCAAATTATTGACTGGCAGTGTTCAAAATAAGGCCTGAAAGTCCTTAGCTCACCATAACGATCTGAAAGATGGACACCAGTTTGTAAATTCTCAAATTATTGACTGGCAGTGTTCAAAATAAGGCCTGAAAGTCCTTAGCTCACCATAATGATCGGAAAGATGGACACCAGTTTGTAAATTCTCAAATTATTGACTGGCAGTGTTCAAAATTAGCTAAGGTGAGATTTTCTTACCTTTTTTTATAATACGCTTCTAATCCTTTAACAAAAAGGTACACCACTTCCCTGAACTGATGGTACTTCCGATGCCATTGTGAAGTCATTGGTTACCATGACGTCAAATTTAAATTACATCACTAATGGCTCTGGACCCGTGAAGATCCGGGGTAGAATAGGTCTTCAGCAACCCATACTTGCCGTAAAAGGGGACTATGCTTGTCGTAAGAGGCGACTAACAGGATCGGGTGGTCAGACTCGCTGACTTGGTTGATGCATGTCATCATATCCCAATTGCGTGGATCAATGCTCATGATATCAATCCCTGGATTGTCTGGTCCAGACTTGATTATTTACAGACCGCCGTCATATAGCTGGAATATTGCTGAGTGCAGCGTTAAACCACAAACAAACAATGTCTCTGCTACTGAAGCTGTTAGCAGTACTTTTTACAGTTAAGACACTGCTTACTACTGTCTACAAACTGATGATGTTGGATGATGAATAAAATCTCAAGCAAGTGTCTGTTGATATAAAATTGGTTGGTTGATTGGTTTGTTGTTTAACGCCAGACAATCCAGTTATTAATATCATGAACATCAATCCATGCAATTGGGATTGATGACATGCATCAACCAAGTCAGCGAACCTGACAACCCGATCCCGTTAGTCTCCTTCTATGACAAGCAGTCACCTTTTATCGCAAGCATGGGTTGCTGAAGACCTATTCTACCCTGGAATCTTCACGGGTCTTTTGATATAAAATATATCAACACTCATTGACATATTTGATATCAAAAGACAATGGGGCAAGATTCTCTACATATTAAACAAATCTAGAGAAATGATGTCAGTCCAGACTCACACTCTGCAGCAACTCCCCCGGGGGCTTGGCGGCACTCATCTCCATCATGTTGATGACGATGCCCATGGTGTCTTGCATGGCCAGCTGGGCGTGGACGACGGACAGGTTGATCCGCTGGGACAGGTGCACTGTCTGAGTGCCTGTAGTTTGTGCTGAAACGCAACACCACAAATATACGGTAGTGATTGGGAGATGTGCACTGTCTGAGTGCGTGTAGTTTGTGCTGAAACGCAACACCACAAACATACTGTAGTGATTGGGAGATGGATTGAGTGAGTTGGGTTTAAGGCCGCGCTGAACTTGTCAGCTTAATCTGAGAGGATGAATATAAAGTGGTGCAGAACTGTAGTGATTGGGAGATGGATTGAGTGAGTTGGGTTTAAGGCCGCGCTGAGCTTGTCAGCTTTACCTGAGTTAATTATTGTGGGTAGGGAGACTTAAAGCGGCATATAACTGTAGGGATCCCAAGTGAGTGAATGTGAGTGAGTTGGGTTTAACGTCTCTTTTAATATTAACGTCTCCACTCATATCGCGGCGTGTCAGCTTAATGTGGGAGGAAAGCCCGAAGTGATGCAGGTTTCAGACGTTTACCACTTGGGTGAAACCCACGAGCACGGGTATGGTGCTGACAAACCTAGAAACATAATTGGGGCGAATCGGGATTCGAACCCACAAGCATAGGTTTCTGGTGTGCCCAAGGGACGCAACTCTGCACAGCAAATCGCGGCGCCTTAGACGACTGGGCCACCCATGCTCCCGGATCCCTAGTGAAACAAGAGTCATCAGGAGATGACATATCCCTCCATTCTGGTGCAACTCCAAAATGGAGTTGGTCACTTATACCTCACTCTTGGTTCATTAATATTGGATATGTTCACTTCAGTGAAGAAAAAATGCTGCTGTTCAGAATTTTTCAACATCCCAGTTCATCAAAAAGACAAAAATAAAAATTCAAAAAATAAAAACACAAAATTATCAAAAGGCACCAGATCACCACTAGACTGATCTGCATAGCAAGTTTCAACAAGAAATATTTTCAACGATTAAGGAGCTTGAATGGCTGACAGACGGACATGGTGATCAGAAGAATGGAGGTCCGAGAGAGATGCCTGACGTCAATGAAGAGGAAATGACAATTCCCGTGCTTATAACAACTCAGGATTCTGTCTAGATGTCTGAAAGGAAGTAAGGATGTCACGCCTCGAACATAATACTTGTATCTCAACTAGTTATCGATAGTTGCCAGTGAAGAGAACTGCTTGAAAAATCTTAAGATTTTTGTAGCGCTATGACAGCGGAAATACCGGATTTCTGGCACTGATGTAATAGAGGTTTTGTATCCACAGGCTGTAGGACCTTGCATCTGGGAAATCCCTGGTTGAAATCCTCAAGCATGCCATAGTGAGACTTGGAGCAATAGTCCAGCAGTACACCAGAAAATGGCTTCACACATTGTACTCATGTGGGCCATGGGCTTGAACTAAGGCACTTATTCCAGCAATATCAGGGCAGCAGTACACCAGAATGGCTTCACACATTGTACTCATGTGGGCCATGGGCTTGTACTGAGGCAATTATTCCAGCAATATCAGGGCAGCAGTACACCAGAATGGCTTCACACATTGTACTCATGTGGGCCATGGGCTTGTACTGAGGCAATTATTTCAGCAATATCAGGGCAGCAGTACACCAGAATGGCTTCACACATTGTACTCATGTGGGCCATGGGCTTGTACTGAGGCAATTATTCCAGCAATATCAGGGCAGCAGTACACCAGAATGGCTTCACACATTGTACTCATGTGGGCCATGGGCTTGTACTGAGGCAATTATTCCAGCAATATCAGGGCAGCAGTACACCAGAATGGCTTCACACATTGTACTCATGTGGGCCATGGGCTTGTACTGAGGCAATTATTCCAGCAATATCAGGGCAGCAGTACACCAGAATGGCTTCTCACATTGTACTCATGTGGGCCATGGGCTTGTACTGAGGCAATTATTCCAGCAATATCAGGGCAGCAGTACACCAGAATGGCTTCACACATTGTACTCATGTGGGCCATGGGCTTGTACTGAGGCAATTATTTCAGCAATATCAGGGCAGCAGTACACCAGAATGGCTTCTCACATTGTACTCATGTGGGCCATGGGCTTGTACTGAGGCAATTATTCCAGCAATATCAGGGCAGCAGTACACCAGAATGGCTTCACACATTGTACTCATGTGGGGCTTGAACTAAGGCAGTTATTCCAGCAATATCAGGGCAGCAGTACACAAGAATAGCTTCACACATGGTTGTTGCTGGTTCCTCTGTGAGGAGTTGGACCTACCAGGCTTGTCCCCTCTCCTCCTGTGGTCGGTCACCTCAGCGTCTCCCCCCACTTTCTTCAGCGCCATCTCTCGGTCCCAGTCCTCCAGCTCCTTCCCGAACTTCTTGTTGTCGTCCATCACCTGGTCGGAGAGGTCTGGTGGGAGAGGCTCTACCTGCTCGTTACGCTGCCTCCCTGAAACAATAAGCACATGGTGGACATCCGACTCTCCGATCAACCAGGGACCATTTTTACCCGAGTTGTGTACTGCAATTCACAGCAATAACGATTCATGTATGGCAATACGTACAACATATTTAATGCATTCTTTCGTCAGCAATATTCCAGCTACACGAGGTTGGTCTGTGAATAATCAAGTCTGGACCAGACAATCTAGTGAGACATCATGAGCATCGACCTACACAATTGGGATAAGCTAACATGCATCAACCAAGTCAGCAAGGCTGACCACCCGATCTCGAAAGTCTCCTTAATTTGTTATGGATCTATACATAGGACTTTCCCCGCACAATTTTGACGAAGTTGTCCGCCATTTTGTTGGATGTTGCTATGGTCCCAATGCATAATAGACACAGCATATACAGGAAGCTGGTCATGAACAGTTTTGATTTTTAGATGACAGGATTCAGTTGCATATTTCTGAACATGATTTTGAAAAACGCAATATACCAATATTTTCCAAATGTACTTTGATACATATTCATCAGTATTTCAAATTGTGGTATTCCGGTACACCTCTCTTCTCTACAATCAACTGTATCTGAGAACAAACAGGCACAAACAGACCATTACGGTGTACCTACCACGTACATGAGGCAGTAGGCACTGTCACTGTGGTAGCCTCCATTACGGTGTACCTACCTTCCAACGCCTCCAGTCTGGTGCGGTCCACGTACATGAGGAAGTAGGCACTGTCACTATAGTAGCCTCCACTACGGTGTACCTACCTTCAAACGCCTCCAGTCTGGTGCGGTCCACGTACATGAGGCAGTAGGCACTGGCATTGTGGTAGCCTCCATTACGGTGTACCTACCTTCCAACGCCTCCAGTCTGGTGCGGTCCACGTACATGAGGCAGTAGGCACTGTCACTATGGTAGCCTCCATTACGGGGTACCTACCTTCCAACGCCTCCAGCCTGGTGCGGTCCACGTACATGAGGCAGTAGGCACTGTCACTGTGGTAGCCTCCATTACAGTGTACCTACCTTCCAATGCCTCCAGTCTGGTGCGGTCCACGTACATGAGGCAGTAGGCACTGTCACTATGGTAGCCTCCATTACGGTGTACCTACCTTCCAACGCCTCCAGCCTGGTGCGGTCCACGTACATGAGGCAGTAGGCACTGGCATTGTGGTAGCCTCCCATGCTCTCCTTCTCAAGCTCCTCCCAGGAGGACTCGGACACGGTGATGTCGTTAAACTTGAGCCACTTCTCCCTGGTCAGGTCGTAAATGTAGGCCCAGTAGTGGCCGGACGCCGCCTGACCCTCGTGAACCAGCACAGCATGGAGATGGTAGGGGAACTGGAATACAAGTCAGGCCATGTTATAGTAACCAGAGCTCCAGATAAGCTTTTGGTGTTGTGGGTATTTTACCCATGCATTTTAAAATCATTGGGTATCAGTAATTCTATCTGGGTATTCAAATTTCTGTTACCCACTAGTTTTTACACATGTGGGTATTTAAGTTAAATATTTAAAAACACTATTCATCTAGTCCCTACAAACTGGTGTCGTGCTGGTTGGAGAGCTTTATAGGACTAAAAAATACCCAGATACTTCCACAGGAAAGTGTGATGGCAAATGATCATGATGTAACTGTCATCGTGGAGTTTGGCAAGGTTGACGAATGCCCGTTATAATTTCAAAATAAGTTGCTGATTTGCTAATCGTATACGCAGGGTTACTTCACAATATTTTGATGATACGGACAAGTTTGATTTTTGTAGCGTATCTGTAATGTTCGTTGTGGATTTGATACGCTTAGATTATATTTTACTGCGTATTTCTGCATTTCTGATGCGTATTTCACGCAGATACGCAGCTTATCTGGAGCTCTGAGTAACAGTGCAGGACATATTTATCTGGGATTCCAGACCAACTGACCTTGCCAATCAGGCTATGTTATATAATATTCCAGTTATATGACAGCGGTCTGTAAATAATCGAGTCTGGACCAGACAATCCAGTGATTGATATCATGAGCATCAATCCACGCAATTGGGATCGATGACATGCATCAACCAAGTCAGCGAGCCTGACCACCCAATCCCGTTAGTCACCTTTTACGACAAGCATAGTCGCCTTTTACGGCAAGCATGGGTTGCTGAAGACCTATTCTACCCCGGAATCTTCACATGTCAGCACTAGTTTGAAACTGGCGACTTCCATTCCAGACTAAGCTTTTCAAAGTATTTTAAATCAGTCATACAGCCCGTAACCATAGTTTTGTGTTAAGCTTGCATGATTAGAAATCATATTCCGCTAACAATGTAACAAAACAATGTAAATATTTTATTTTTCATTTTTTTATTTCATGTTCGTATCGTTATCTATCATGTTGTTGTCCAATTTTCGATCACAAACATTGATACTACTTAATTTCATTTATCCGACATACTCGTTAATCTGACATAATCATGCAACCAACCATGTTGGATTAACGGGACTTGACTGTATTTGAGAAGGTGATCAAGATAAGACATATACTGCGCACTCACTTTTTGCATAGCGTCGTCACTGTACGTGCTGTTGACCTGATCTTCAAGTCGAGATATGTTCTCTTGTAACTCTGAAACCAATTGGAAATCATGTTCAAACCTTGACAGGTAGCATACAGCTATCACTGGCTGTTGGGGATGGGTCTTGGATGGTTAAAGTGTATCCCAATATTTTACAATGTACAAGGCCGTGTTGTGATATGTATCACACTATATTGTATAATTCAAAATTTTGAGTATCAGAAGCAATTTGAAACATCAGAGCAAGAACTGAAGTTCATAAATGAACAAAACAAGATGCTGGAACAGCATAATATTCACTCATTCAATAAATACGCAGGGATGCACGCTCCGGGACAGTGGTGACTTGGTGTTACACCACTGCCACAGAAGAACTCCAGAATGCGAATTTGCATTTTGGAATTACGGAAAAATTTTGAAGGGACAAGTATTTGGCAAGTGTATTCCATTAAACACATGATAAAAATTGCTAACTGAAATCACACAATATACTGAGCACTAAAGCATGATATTGTGATATCATATTGTGATATCATATTGTGATATAATGGAAGGAATGAACCTCAATTCACCGATATACCGGTAATACTGCAACCCATACTGGCTACTAGTCCAGAGCTCCAGATAAGCTTTTGGTGTTGTGGGTATTTGACCCATGCATTTTAAAATCATTGGGTATCAGTAATTCTATCTGCGTATTCAAATTTCTGTTACCCACTAGTTTTTACACATGTGGGTATTTAAGTTAAATATTTAAAAACACTATTCATCTAGTCCCTGCAAACTGGTGTCGTGTGGGTTCGAGAGCTTTATAGGACTCAAAAATACCCAGATACTTCCACAAGAAAGTGTGATGGCAAATGATCATGATGTAACTGTCATCGTGGAGTTTGGCAAGGTTGACGGAATGCCCTTTATAATTTCAAAATAAGTTGCTGATTTGCTAATCGAATACGCAGGGTTACTTCACAATATTTTGATGATACACACAAGTTTTATTTTTGTAGCGTATCTGTAATGTTCGTTGCGTATTTGATACGCTTGGATTATATTTTACTGTGTATTTCTGCATTTCTGATGCGTATTTCACGCAGATACGCAGCTTATCTGGAGCTCTGCTAGTCTCAACATAGTGTCACGTCCTCTGAGGCAACACCGTCAAGTTAGCTTTACACAGAGCCAGGGTGGGCGCCTATGGACTTCTGGTGTGAAGAACAACACAGACGATGGAGAACTCCATCTATGAGGTATTCCTCCATGCCAACTCATTTGAGTTTTGTATGTTTGATTGTTGCTTGACGCTGCACTCAGCAATATCGCAACAAAATGACGGCGGTCTGTAAATAATTGAGTCTGGACCAGAAAATCCAGTGACTGAGATCATGAGTATCGATCCACGTAATGGAGACACGATGACATGCATCAACCAAGTCAGAGAGCCTGACCACCCGATCCCGTTAGTCACCTCTTACGACAAGCATGAGTTGCTGAAGACCTATTCTAACCCGGATCTTCACCGGTTGTTCCTCCAGGGAGCAGCTGGGGAACAGCTGACTGGCATCCCTCTTTCTTACTGAGAGAGTTGACAAAGCCTCACCCCTGACGTCAGTCTCCACCTCAGTCCGCCACCGCCGCAGACAGTCTTGTAGCACCTGGAGTTCACTCTCGGACACATGGCGGGGGGAGGGGCTGGGCACGTCGGGCGGGGGCTTGGGGGGCCTGCCCGGGGAGCGAGGCAGGGGGGATGACATGGTCACATCAACCGAGGGGACCGGTAGAGAGCTAGGAGATTCTGTCCTGCAGCTGAAGCACAGGATGACAAAGAGCATTTGTTTGTTGTTCAAAATCACATTCACCAATAACCTGACAACATAACACTGGCCTCTTTATAAATAAAGTCTGGATCAGACAAGCCAGTGATTGATATAATGAGCAACAACCCTCATAATCAGGGAATGATGACACATGATCGTAGTACTTGGATAAGAAAAAATAGCGAAATAGTGTGTACTAAATAGGCTGTTTCTCATCAGGTACTAAAATCCCAGAGCAAGCTATCCAACATATCTTGATACAATTTATGAACAATGAAAAGCTGTTTTCTTACTTTGTGACTGAGTTTGGTTTTGGAGATTCCATCTCGACATCATGTGACTGCTGGCTGGGAGTGCTGGGCTTACTCTCCGCGAACTGCAGCACGGAGGACAACACGTCCTGCAGGGGGAACCGCTTGCTTCCGGACCCGTAGCAGATGAACCTGGGACAGGCACAGGAATACAGGGGCAGGAACAAACGCCAACAGATGCTAATCCTTCTCACTGACTTACTTATCCATGACTAATCCATCTCACTGACCTACTTGTCCATCTCACTGACTTATCAATCTCACTGACCTACTTGTCCATCTCACTGACCTACTTGTCCATCTCACTGACTTATCAATCTCACTGACCTACTTATCCATCTCATTGACTTACTTATATATCTCATTTACCTACTTATCCATCTCATTGACCTACTTATCCATCTCACTGACCTACTTATCCATCTCACTGACCAACTTATCCATCTCACTGACCTACTTATCCATCTCACTGACCTACTTATCCATCTCACTGACTTACATATCAATCTCACTGACTTATCCATCTAACTGACCTACTTATCCATCTCGCTGACCTACTTATCCATCTCATTGACCTACTTATCCATCTCACTGACCTACTTATCCATCTCACTGACCAACTTATCCATCTCACTGACCTACTTGTCCATCTCACTGACCTACTTATCAATCTCACTGACTTACTTATCAATCTCACTGACTTACTTAAACATCTCGCTGACCTACTTATCAATCTCACTGACTTACTGACTTATCAATCTCACTGACTTACTGACTTATCAATCTCACTGACTTACTTATCAATCTCAATGACTTACTTATCAATCACACTGACTCACTGACTTATCAATCTCACTGACTTACTTATCAATCTCACTGACCTACTTATCCATCTCATTGACTTACTTTTACATCTCGCTGACCTACTTATCAATCTCACTGACCTACTTATCAATCTCACTGACCTACTTATCAATCTCACTGACCTACTTATCCATCTCACTGACCTACATATCCATCTCTCTGACTTACTTACTTATCCATCTCGCTGACTTACTTATCGAGTTTAGCATGCAAGACAGTGAGTTCCTCCTTCAGTTTTCTGGCCTCTTCCCGCCTCTGCCGAGTCAGCGCCTTGTTCCTCTCCATGTACCTGTGTAACAGAGACACCTTACGCTGAGACCGGCAACAACCAACCAGTGGCTGATAGCATGAACAGGAGTACTGACTGTGGACAGCGTTTGTTTGTTTGTTTGTTTGTGTTGTTTGTGTTGTTTAATGCTGCACTCAGCAATATTCCAGCTATATGACGGCGGGCTGTAAATAATCGAGTCTGGACCAGACAATCCAGGGATTAATATCATGAGCATCGTCCCACGCAATTGGCGATCCTGACCACCGGATCCCGTTAGTCGCCTTTTACGACAAGCATAGTCACCTTTTACAGCAAGCATGGGTTGCTGAAGACCTATTCTATCCCGGTCTACACAATTGGGATACAATGACATGCAAGCCAGCAAACCTGACCACCGGATCCCGTTAGTCGCCTCTTACAACAAACATCGTCTCCTTTCTATCGCATGGTGGATGGAATCGGTGAGCAAAGACAATTGGTTGAACATCTACTTCACATCACGCTTTCAGTATCAGTTACAGACACACCGTACTCAGTGTATTACGGTAAGCGCCTGCTCCAATAGCAGACTTTTCAAGCATATGACCTTCCAGGAGGTTGGTTGGTTGGATTGTTGTTTAACGCCACACTCAGCAATATTCTATATGACGGCGGTCTGTAAATATTCGAATCTGGACCAGACAATCCAGTGATTGACATCATGAGCATCGATCCACGCAATTGGGACCAATGACATGCATCAACCAAGTCAGCGAGCCTGACCGCCCGATCCCGTTAGTCCCCTTTTACGACAAGTATAGTCGCCTTTTACAGCAAGCATGGGTTGCCGAAGACCAATATTACCCCGATCTTCACAGGTCCCTTCCAGGAGGAAAGATTATATACAGGTGGATGTCATGAACCAATTTGTTGAAACCCGCTTATACCAAAATCAAGGGGGCAGCATTAGGTGTGGTGCCAAGGATCATAATCAGGATCAGCAGATCCTGGCATGGCAAGGGGACATAACTCAGTATCAAATGCCACATTTCGAGATGATTCCAATAAATGGTGCATGTAAGACTGGACGCTGAAAGAGAAAACATTTACTTACCTGTCCATGTAGATAACTTTAGGAAACTCTATCTTATTATGTATTTTTTCAGGTCGACCCATCTGCTGGTTGAACTGGAAACGTGAAAGCTCAAAGGTCAATACTGGAGGCAGGCGGGAGAACCACAGCTGAAACAGTAACAGGAGACCTGTGAGTGAGTGAGTGAGTGAGTGAGTGAGTGGGTGGCAGGGTGGGTGAGTGAGTGAGTGAGTGAGTGGGTGGGTGGGTTGGTGGGTGGGTGGGTGAATGGGTGAGTGAGTGAGTGAGTGAGTGAGTGAGTGAGTGAGTGAGTTGGGTTTAACGCCACTTTTAACAGTATCCCAGTTATACCACGGCGTGTCAGCTTAATGTGGGAGGAAAGGCCGAAGTGATGCAGGGATTCGAACCCACAATCATAGGTTTCTTGTGCGCCCAAGGGATGCTGCTCTGCACAGCAATTTGCAGCACCTTAGACAACTGGGCCACCCATGCCCCCAGGAGACATGTGAAACTTCTGTTTTACGTCTGTCTCAGAAACTCATATATATATATATATATGGCAAGACAAGCATGGTACTTGGGACATATTCTGGCCCAGAATCCCCAGTGGGGTGATAGCAAGAGTTGCTTGAAACCTATTCTGACCCAGAATCCCAAATTGAGTGTAAGCAAGAGTTTCTGGGGACCTATTCTGACCTAGGATCCAATATGGGTATAAGCAAGAGTTTCTGGGAACCTATTCTGACCCAGGATCCAATATGGTATAATCAAGAGGTCGTCAAAGGAAAAGCAAGTAGCACTATATCTATAGAAAGCAAACTGTTTACTGCAACAGTGTGTGACAAATGACATATTTCCAACACTCACCTCCTGGCCTGATTTCTGTGTGACGTCACTACTGACAGCCTCGATCTCACCCTGGGCAGTGGCGCCCTCTAGGCTCTCGTGAATATCACGAAAGCCGTTCACCTGCAAGGGGAACTGCCCAAACGTCTCCTCATTGGTGAAACCCTTTCCTGTGAACCAGACATTGAATTCTAGACGTGTTGGTCAGTTCTACACCAACAGGAGGTGTATTTATAGAGTTGAGTCATTTACGATAAATATCTCCGTACTATGGGTGCTATTAGTATCTCAATACAGTACTTTTATTTCATCAGTTGACATTCTCTTGTTTTGCTGGTAAATCACAACACTCAATCATTTGTTAATTAATTTCCAAAGGCCAAAGATGAGTGAGGTGAGGTGAAATTGTGTTTAACGTCGCGTCCAAGATTATTGCACTTACATAGCGACGTGCATACAGGTGTGTGTGTGTGGCTGCTTGTACTAGTCCGGACTGATGCCGATTTATAGTGCTAGCTCACTGAGATACCATGCTGCAGGTTAACATGAATACCCAACTCAGACACAGTATACGGACTCCGAGCCGACCAGTCCTTGTTTTAGCCCCTTAATGCCGAGTGCCAGACAGGGTAACAACAAGTACCATCTTTTAACGTCTTTTGGTATGACGCGGCCGGGGATCGAACTCTGGGCACTGTGAATGTTATGCTATTTATAGTCAACTGGGAAATACCAGAGAATCTGCAACAGTTTTAATTCAGGTTTTTTTACACCAATATAATTTGAAATGTCATATATCGTATGTATCGTGATCATTGAGTTGTATATCGATATAATCATGTGGGGCTCCTATCAAGTACAATACTGTATCACCATATCGTTACACCCCTACGATCAATTACTGTATTCGACGTAATAAGCACCCAGGGCACTCTCAAAATTAGACATAGGGGGCTCATATCAGAATATAATTTTGGTGAGGAAAAAAATCAGAATTGAAAGATTGTAAATTTCGTGGTTTATGCTGACAGCCTGAAATGATACAAAAGAAGAATCTGTGCATATTATACATGACAGATATATTTTTCCAGAATTTAATTGCCCATAATTAAAGGTGCATATAACACGTGTGCGTATTATACATAAATAAATAAGTCTTGTGTACATTGATCAATCTGAAGGGGTGCTATTTTGAGATTGTTCACTAGCCAATATATTAGCAAATATCGCAATGGGCGCTTATTAGAGTGGGGTGCTTATTACGTGGAATCCAGTAAGTCATCTCTTACAATAAGCATGGGTTACTTGAGATAAATTCCAACCCAAGATCCACATCACCCACCTTCGTGATATCCCTCCGCCTGGAACTGCCCATAAAATAGATCCACAACAGGATTGTCATCCTTCTTATCCTCCTGCTGAGAACACCCCGCCTTCCTGGAAAAAAACATAATTCAGTTGCCATGGTTACTGTGTGAAGTGTTCAAACCATTATGTTTAAATGCAGTAATTTCTTCATTGACATGATGCTACTGTCTGCAATCTACAATTAGAGATTTAAAAATGCATATTTGAAACATACTGTCAGTGTCAAAATTCAATCTTATCAAAATTAGATCTGAAGACCTGAGAACCTCTCTATAAGGAGTGAGTATGGTTTCAGCCAGATTCCAGCAATATTCCAGCAATATCACGGGGGGGCACCGGGGGGTTTACCACTATGTGGCCGAGGGGCTTCAGACATTGTACCCATGTTGGGAATCAAACTTGAATCTTCGGCATCAACCACTAGGCCAGGGTTAGAAACTAACAGTTTTCCTCCACTAGTCCTTATAATGATAACATATAGCAAAACCCTTAAAAAGGGCAAATTTCTACACGTCCTTATGATACCTTTACCATTTGGCAGTTTGGCAAGGACTATAGGACTAGTGCCAATTTCTAACGCTGTAGGCTACCCCACCATCCCTACAAAGAGGACGTCAGGCGAACTTTCTAATTAGCCACTAAGCTTCCTATATTCTCGGTACAAGTCTCTCTTACTGCTATTGCCTGTATTCTGCTGCATACGAGGTTGTGTATTTCTGGTCATGCATGCGTTTCTCTGTTTACTTTCACAATGGTGGCGTGTACAAATCAGAATATTTCACATTTTTTCAAGAGCCATACCACCCTGACAATTGCAGAAAGACAGAACAATGGCTGAAACTGCCAGAAGAACTGAGGCGCGTTTATTAGATGCAATGTGGTCAGCATAATGGAATCACAAAGTTCAGCATTGCTATTATGTAGCAGTGCCTTGCAATGCACAGTGACGAAACTCATCTCCCCAGTGAACCACATGATTATTCCCTGAAGTACAATCGTGAACATTTTGTGAATAGATGGCAACATGTCAGTACAAGCAAGGTGTACCTTGCAGCAAAACGAATGTCAAATTAATTACAACATCATCAAAAGCAGATCTTTTACTCCAATACCAGCTCCCCAAGCTTAGATGTGTCCACCCAATACACACAAAACAAGACTTACGCTTCTTGTGGGGATGAAGGGTCGGAGTTATCTTTCTTGAAAGCATCCTCAAGCCATTCCAAGAGTTTATGTTGAAACTCACTAACGTCCTGCAATACAAGTCAATACAATAAGACATCATTAGATTAACATCATAAACATGAGAATACACTTTTTAATTTCATGTTTTGCTGACCAGGTTTGAGTGAGTGAGTGAGTTTGGTTTAATGCCGCTTTTAACAGTATTCCAGTTATATCACGGCGTGTCAGCTTAATGTGGGAGGAACGCCAGAAGTGATGCAGGTCTCAGACGTTTACCACTTCGGTGAAACCCACAGCATGGGTATGGTGCTGACAAACCTAGAAACGGGGCGAACCGGAATTCGAACCCACAATCATAGGTTTCCGGCGTGTCCAAGGGACGCAACTCTGCAAAGCGAATCGCGGTGCCTTAGATGACTGGGCCACCCGTGCCCCCGGGAAGGACAAGATATATGAATGAACAACTTCTTTATTACAATTAGGAGCGACGGTTTTGTGTAGATTCTAACCCCGTTATCAAGCTAGTTTTAGAACCTACACCGAAATATCCCTCCTAATTGTAAATCCATCCTAAATGTTCATCCATTGGCATACATCTTTTTAAATTACTTGGCACTCCAACTTCTAAATGCCTCTCAAAGATGTTCCTCTATAAGGTGTTTGCCAGGGCCAGAAGAGATCATATATAAAATTCTAATATAAATTTATTATATAATAATATAAAAGGTCATATTTACTTATTGTTACATTATTTTACTTGCAGCATTCATTTTCTAATCCTTGGGGAGATAACTATAACCTAAATGTGCTACAATAACCTGCACCACCCCCAGAACACACTGGGCCTGTGACTATCTGTACGGGCTACCATCACCCACCTGCTGGCTGTCACTGGCTCCTGTAGGAGACTACCACCAATCACCTGCTGTAGGAGACTACCACCACCCACCTGCTGGCTGTCACTGGCTCCTGTAGGAGACTACCACCACCCACCTGCTGTAGGAGACTACCACCACCCACCTGCTGTAGGAGACTACCACCAATCACCTGCTGTAGGAGACTACCACCACCCACCTGCTGTAGGAGACTACCACCAATCACCTGCTGTAGGAGACTACCACCAATCACCTGCTGTAGGAGACTACCACCACCCACCTGCTGGAGGAGACTACCACCACCCACCTGCTGTAGGAGACTACCACCAATCACCTGCTGTAGGAGACTACCACCAATCACCTGCTGTAGGAGACTACCACCACCCACCTGCTGGAGGAGACTACCACCACCCACCTGCTGTAGGAGACTACCACCAATCACCTGCTGTAGGAGACTACCACCACCCACCTGCTGGAGGAGACTACCACCACCCACCTGCTGGAGGAGACTACCACCACCCACCTGCTGTAGGGGCTACCACCACCCACCTGCTGTAGGAGACTACCACACCCACCTGCTGTAGGTGACTACGACCACCCACCTGCTGTAGGGGCTACCATCACCCACCTGCTGTAGGAGACTACCACACCCACCTGCTGTACGGGCTACCATCACCCACCTGCTGTAGGGGCTACCATCACCCACCTGCTGTAGGGGCTACCATCACCCACCTGCTGTAGGGGACTACCACCACCCACCTGCTGTAGGGGCTACCACCACCCACCTGCTGTAGGGGACTACCACCACCCACCTGCTGTAGGGGCTACCACCACCCACCTGCTGTAGGGGACTACCACACCCACCTGCTGGCTGTCACTGGCTCCTGTAGGAGACTACCACCACCCACCTGCTGTAGGAGACTACCACCACCCACCTGCTGTAGGAGACTACCACCACCCACCTGCTGTAGGAGACTACCACCACCCACCTGCTGTAGGAGACTACCACCACCCATCTGCTGTAGGGGACTACCACCACCCACCTGCTGTAGGAGACTACCACCACCCACCTGCTGGAGGAGACTACCACCACCCACCTGCTGGCTGTCACTGGCTCCTGTAGGGGAGGAGAAAGCCTCCTTCAGAATATCCACAGCTTTGGACGGATCCACGTACTTCTTGTTAGAGCCGACCAGCAAGGCAAACAGGTGACGCAGCTCGTGCATGAACCGATGGTTTCTCCTCTCCTGCCAAAGATGCAACAAACCCAATAACACTTGTAGCAATCCACTTCCGTAATAACTGACGAGGTGGGGCACAGTTTTAAAAAAACATTGGAACAGGCAACAAGACTTCTGTAAAAGTTTCAAATTTCAAATATTTTCTTTCATGCCCCACTCAAAAAAAGTTAAACAACACCAACAAATGGAAAGATAATCATGACAGATAAAGTATGGTATATGTATAACTGTGTTTGAATATGCTGTGGGAAATATTAACCTCATTAGTTGTTACATGTCTATGTTTAGTTTGATTGGTCGGTCGGTTGGTTGTTTAACGTCACACTCAGCAATATTGCAGCTATATGACGGCGGTCTGTTAATAATAGAGTCTGGACCAGACAAGCCAGTGATTGATATCATGAGCATTGATCCACGCAATTGGGATCAATTGGCATGCATCAACCAGTGAGCCAGACCACCTGATCCCATTAGTCGCCTTTTACGACATGTATAGTTGCCTTTTACAGCAAGCATGGGTTGATTAAGACCTGCTCTACCCCGGCTCATCATCATCATATGACTGTGGGTGAGTATGGTTTTACGCCTCTTTTGGCAATATTCCAGCAATATCACGGCGGGGGACACCAGAAATGGGCTTCACACTTTGTACCCATGTCGGGAATCGAACCCGGGTCTTCGGCGTGACGTCATCATCATATGAAGGCCTCACCAGTCATTGGAAGAAGAAAAGACATTATTGTCCCAGAGTAGCTGACCTTAATATGTGACATTTATCACAATAAAAATTCAGATGAGCTTCTGCTAGGGTGCTCTGCTACTTCCTCATCGCCATGGCAACACGGACATACTTACATTGGTTGTTGTTGAAGGCCCATCATTTGGAAGCTGGAAATTCAGCACTATGCGTCGAAATTTTCGTAGATGAAAGAGTGACTGAAACAAAGACAGAAACGTCCACAAACACCCAGGTCACTGAAACATTACTCCTGAACAAAGACTAGGACCAGTTCCTGCTGTATCCGAGATTTCATGATCGCGGAATATTTTAAAGAAATTCCCACTTGCAGAACTCAAGAACTCTTGCAGAATTTTGCATTCATTTGCCACAAAATTTTAACACACAAGTCAAAAGCTTGTTTTATTCCTGTAAACATGTATGCCGTTCTGGAGTGAAGTTTCATGATTTGTGTGTATATATATATATCAAATTATTGTGGCAGAATTTACAAAAATTGAATATTTTTTTTTTGGCAGTGGAACGGAGGGGGGACTGTACGACGTCCCTAACAAGGTCAGGAGGTCAAAGAACATCCCTGGAACAATGCTAGTGCGCTGATACGGCAATCCAACCGTTCTAGTCAAAGGGAGATAACTGTTCCTGATCTCTGCATCTCTCTACTTGCCTCACATAGAGAGGCGTTGATGATCAGATTTTTTTTCTAGCAAAAACAGACATACAAGGAAAATATTTCTTATCTTTCCTTGTGAGGGTGTCCGGCATTGCAACTCCCTCTTAAGTTCATCTGTTACAAAATATCATAATGAAGTTGTGTGATGAGAACAGATCTCGGAAGCCTGTTACTATTAATATCAAATTTCCAAAAAATGTGTCACTCGATTTTCGCAGAAAAGGAATCTCATCTTATACCTTTTACATTATCAATCAATGTATGTGAAGTGTCACCATGGCAACCGACCCCTGCGTACCTGTATGACAGCACTGAACCAGCATGTATTGTGTCACCATGGCAACAGCCACCTGCGTACCTGTATGACAGCGCTGAACCAGCATGTATTGTGTCACCATGGCAACCGACACCTGCGTACCTGTATGACAGCACTGAACCAGCATGTATTGTGTCACCATGGCAACAGCCACCTGCGTACCTGTATGACAGCGCTGAACCAGCATGTATTGTGTCACCATGGCAACAGCCACCTGCGTACCTGTATGACAGCACTGAACCAGCATGTATTGTGTCACCATGGCAACAGCCACCTGCGTACCTGTATGACAGCACTGAACCAGCATGTATTGTGTCACCATGGCAACAGCCACCTGCGTACCTGTATGACAGCACTGAACCAGCATGTATTGTGTCACCATGGCAACCGACACCTGCGTACCTGTATGACAGCACTGAACCAGCATGTATTGTGTCACCATGGCAACAGCCACCTGCGTACCTGTATGACAGCACTGAACCAGCATGTATTGTGTCACCATGGCAACAGCCACCTGCGTACCTGTATGACAGCGCTGAACCAGCATGTATTGTGTCACCATGGCAACAGCCACCTGCGTACCTGTATGACAGCACTGAACCAGCATGTATTGTGTCACCATGGCAACAGCCACCTGCGTACCTGTATGACAGCACTGAACCAGCATGTGTTGCCAACGTTCTTCAGTCCTACTGGCCATCCCTCGGTGCGCTTGCGTTCATGGGGGTTGAGTGGGTCGACAAACCATACCTCCCCTCGTTTCCTCTTTGTCCCTGCCTTGCTCTCGGCCAGACTGGCTTCTAGAACCCTGCAGTACAGAGTGAGTGAGTGAGTGAGTGAGTGAGCGAGTGAGCGAGTGAGCGAGTGAGCGAGCGAGTGAGTGAAGTTGGGTGTTTCGATGGGTGAGTGGGTGGTTGAGTGAGTGAGTGAGTGAGTGAGTGAGTGAGTGAGTGAGTGAGTGAGTGAGTGAAATTGGGTGTTTCGATGGGTGAGTGGGTGGTTGAGTGAGGTGAGTGAGTGTGTGAGTAAGTGAGTGAGTGAGTATGGTTTTACACCACTTTTAGCAATATTCCAGCAATATCACGGCTGGGGACACCAGAAATGGGCTTCACACATTGTACCCATGTCGGGAAGCGACCCGGGTCTTCAGCGTGACGAGCGAACGTTTTAACCAGAATCCTGCTGTACAGAGTGAGTGAGTGAGTGTTTCGATGGGTGAGTGAGTGTTTCGATGGATGAGTGGGTGTTTGGTTGGGTGTTTCGATGGTTGAATGAGTGAGTGTTTCGATGGGTGAGTGTTTGAGTGTTTGAGTGAGTGAGTGAGTGAGTGAGTGAGTGACTGAGTGAGAGTGTTTTGATAGGCGAGTGGGTGTTTGGTTGGGTGTTTCGATGGTTGAATGAGTGGTTGAGTGAATGAGTGGTTGAGTGAGTGAGTGAGTGAGTGAGTGAGTTTAACACTGCTTTCAATAGTATTTCAGCTATATATGCTAGCTTGATGCAAGCCCCAGACATTTACTGCAATGATGAAACACAATCATGGAGCTGACAAACCTCGGACATAATCAGGATGAATGTGGAGTCGAAACCCCGATCATCATCTTCCCGAGGCATGAGAGTTAACTGACTATAAAAGTCCAGTTTCCACCCTTGCCGAACTAGGCTGGAATTCATGGGCTCAATCGTAGCGCCACCAGTGGCTATTACCAGTTATGTCCCTTCTAAGCCTCTCCTATGGACCAATCAGATACCCCCTCTCATATCACTTGAATTTCTTTTCAAACAAAATGGCGGCGCCCAGTCAAGATGATATGATCAATAATCAAGAATATATTGTGATAAAACGAGTCTTACATAGCGAAGTCCATCATACCACGTGAGCACCTTGATTAGAAACATGAACAGATTAAGAAAATATCTGTTGACAACGGGTTGGCGGTGCACATGCTTTGCAAATCCTGCAATTGACCGAAATCTCCACGACAGTTGACGAACCGGATTTCGATTTCGTTGCGCTATTATGATTGGACTATGCATAGACTCGTTAGTCCAGCCAAAATGTAACTCCATAATACCAGCCTGGTTCGGCAAGGGTGGAAACTGGACTTTTATAGTCAGTTAACTCTCTTGCCTCGGGAAGATGCCGATCATAGGTTTCTAGCCCATCTGAGGAACACATTTATGTACAGCGATCTGTCAGTGACACTGAGGACAACTGGGCCACCCATGCCCTCAGTCCTAATGATTCTTCACATACGGGTTATAGGGGCGTGGCGTGCGTCGTTTAGGTGGTGGGTAGGGAGGAAGGCCCTCTATAAGTGGTGATGCTGATTCCGACAGTTCATTCATGGTATCGTCAAGGTACCTGCTGATATCCTGCTCCTCTCTGGTCACCTGACCTCCCAGAATGCCCTGGCTGTCCTGTAGACTGGCCGCTATAGCTTTCTGCAACTCATCACGGTCAGTGGTCGGCTCATTGGTCAGGTCGATTACTCCTGGAAACATAGAGAGAAACTGTAAAATAGTCACCAAAAGAAATTGACTTCCTGTTATTAGTTTTGTGTCAAAAAGTTTATGTCCCATAACTTTACCTCTTTATTCTGCGTGGTGCTGAGGTTGCTTCCACCAATACCTACCACTACTACCACTGCTACCACTACTACCACTGCTACCACTACTACCACTGCTGCTTACCCTTGCTGGAGACTGCTCCCTCTGTCTTCTGTGTGGGGCTGGGGACGGCCTCACCCCGCCCACCCTAACATCTACCACTACTACCACTGCTGCTTACCCTTGCTGGAGACTGCTCCCTCTGTCTTCTGTGTGGGGCTGGGGACGGCCTCACCCCGCCCACCCTTACATCTACCACTACTACGACCATCAGTTCTGTTGCTGCTTACCCTTGCTGGAGGCTGCTCCCTCTGTCTTCTGGGTCGGGCTGGGGACTGCCTCACCCCGCCCACCCTAACATCTACCACTACTACCACTGCTGCTTACCCTTGCTGGAGACTGCTCCCTCTGTCTTCTGTGTGGGGCTGGGGACGGCCTCACCCCGCCCACCCTTACATCTACCACTACTACGACCATCAGTTCTGTTGCTGCTTACCCTTGCTGGAGGCTGCTCCCTCTGTCTTCTGGGTGGGGCTGGGGACGGCCTCACCCCGCCCACCCTAACATCTACCACTACTACCACTGCTGCTTACCCTTGCTGGAGACTGCTCCCTCTGTCTTCTGTGTGGGGCTGGGGACGGCCTCACCCCGCCCACCCTAACATCTACCACTACTACGACCATCAGTTCTGTTGCTGCTTACCCTTGCTGGAGGCTGCTCCCTCTGTCTTCTGGGTGGGGCTGGGGACGGCCTCACCCCACCCACCCTAACATCTACCACTACTACCACTGCTGCTTACCCTTGCTGGAGACTGCTCCCTCTGTCTTCTGTGTGGGGCTGGGGACGGCCTCACCCCGCCCACCCTAACATCTACCACTACTACCACTGCTGCTTACCCTTGCTGGAGACTGCTCCCTCTGTCTTCTGTGTGGGGCTGGGGACGGCCTCACCCCGCCCACCCTTACATCTACCACTACTACGACCATCAGTTCTGTTGCTGCTTACCCTTGCTGGAGGCTGCTCCCTCTGTCTTCTGGGTGGGGCTGGGGACGGCCTCACCCCGCCCACCCTAACATCTACCACTACTACCACTGCTGCTTACCCTTGCTGGAGACTGCCCCCTCTGTCTTCTGTGTGGGGCTGGGGACGGCCTCACCCCGCCCACCCTTACATCTACCACTACTACGACCATCAGTTCTGTTGCTGCTTACCCTTGCTGGAGGCTGCTCCCTCTGTCTTCTGGGTGGGGCTGGGGACGGCCTCACCCCGCCCACCCTAACATCTACCACTACTACCACTGCTGCTTACCCTTGCTGGAGACTGCTCCCTCTGTCTTCTGTGTGGGGCTGGGGACGGCCTCACCCCGCTCACCCTTACATCTACCACTACTACCACTGCTGCTTACCCTTGCTGGAGACTGCTCCCTCTGTCTTCTGTGTGGGGCTGGGGACGGCCTCACCCCGCCCACCCTAACATCTACCACTACTACCACTGCTGCTTACCCTTGCTGGAGACTGCTCCCTCTGTCTTCTGTGTGGGGCTGGAGCAGCCTCACCCCGCTCACCCTAACATCTACCACTACTACCACTGCTGCTTACCCTTGCTGGAGACTGCTCCCTGTCTTCTGTGTGGGGCTGGGGACAGCCTCACCCCGCTCACCCTAACATCTACCACTACTACCACTGCTGCTTACCCTTGCTGGAGACTGCTCCCTCTGTCTTCTGTGTGGGGCTGGAGACGGCCTCACCCCGCTCACCCTAACATCTACCACTACTACCACTGCTGCATACCCTTGCTGGAGACTGCTCCCTCTGTCTTCTGTGTGGGGCTGGGGACGGCCTCACCCCGCTCACCCTAACATCTACCACTACTACCACTGCTGCTTACCCTTGCTGGAGACTGCTCCCTCTGTCTTCTGTGTGGGGCTGGGGACGGCCTCACCCCGCTCACCCTAACATCTACCACTACTACCACTGCTGCTTACCCTTGCTGGAGACTGCTCCCTCTGTCTTCTGTGTGGGGCTGGGGACGGCCTCACCCCGCCCACCCTAACATCTACCACTACTACCACTGCTGCTTACCCTTGCTGGAGACTGCTCCCTCTGTCTTCTGTGTGGGGCTGGGGATGGCCTCACCCCGCTCATCCTAACATCTACCACTACTACCACTGCTGCTTACCCTTGCTGGAGGCTGCTCCCTCTGTCTTCTGTGTGGGGCTGGGGACGGCCTCACCCCGCTCACCCTAACATCTACCACTACTACCACTGCTGCTTACCCTTGCTGGAGACTGCTCCCTCTGTCTTCTGTGTGGGGCTGGAGACGGCCTCACCCCGCTCAACCTAACATCTACCACTACTACCACTGCTGCATACCCTTGCTGGAGACTGCTCCCTCTGTCTTCTGTGTGGGGCTGGGGACGGCCTCACCCCGCTCACCCTAACATCTACCACTACTACCACTGCTGCTTACCCTTGCTGGAGACTGCTCCCTCTGTCTTCTGTGTGGGGCTGGGGACGGCCTCACCCCGCTCACCCTAACATCTACCACTACTACCACTGCTGCTTACCCTTGCTGGAGACTGCTCCCTCTGTCTTCTGTGTGGGGCTGGGGACGGCCTCACCCCGCTCACCCTAACATCTACCACTACTACCACTGCTGCTTACCCTTGCTGGAGACTGCTCCCTCTGTCTTCTGTGTGGGGCTGGGGACGGCCTCACCCCGCTCACCCTAACATCTACCACTACTACCACTGCTGCTTACCCTTGCTGGTGACTGCTCCCTCTGTCTTCTGTGTGGGGCTGGGGACGGCCTCACCCCGCCCACCCTAACATCTACCACTACTACCACTGGTGCTTACCCTTGCTGGAGACTGCTCCCTCTGTCTTCTGTGTGGGGCTGGGGACGGCCTCACCCCGCTCACCCTTACATCTACCACTACTACCACTGCTGCTTACCCTTGCTGGAGACTGCTCCCTCTGTCTTCTGTGTGGGGCTGGAGACGGCCTCACCCCGCTCACCCTAACATCTACCACTACTACCACTGCTGCATACCCTTGCTGGAGACTGCTCCCTCTGTCTTCTGTGTGGGGCAGGGGACGGCCTCACCCCGCCCACCCTAACATCTACCACTACTACCACTGCTGCTTACCCTTGCTGGAGACTGCTCCCTCTGTCTTCTGTGTGGGGCTGGGGACGGCCTCACCCCGCTCACCCTAACATCTACCACTACTACCACTGCTGCTTACCCTTGCTGGAGACTGCTCCCTCTGTCTTCTGTGTGGGGCTGGGGACGGCCTCACCCCGCCCACCCTAACATCTACCACTACTACCACTGCTGCTTACCCTTGCTGGAGACTGCTCCCTCTGTCTTCTGTGTGGGGCTGGGGACGGCCTCACCCCGCCCACCCTAACATCTACCACTACTACGACCATCAGTTCTATTGCTGCTTACCCTTGCTGGAGGCTGCTTCAGCTCCCTCTGTCTTCTGTGTGGGGCTGGGGACAGCCTCACCCCCGCTCCTCGGAGTGGTCTGGCTCTGGGTCACGTGCGGCAGAGCGTCCGTAACATCCCGGTACGGCTTCACAACCTGCGGCAATTGTGGGGAAACACATATAGTGGTAGGATTCGGACAGCAAGTCGAAGGAACAGTGAATGTTGTACAAGTAACGCCAGTCAAAAATACAAAGATATTAAAGCTAAATCACTGCAGCCTGCTAGTAGCTGTCTACAATCAAAACTGGGGTGTCACAGACCCCGGGGACTACCACATATGTAATCGAACCTGAGTGTAATCTCATTCACAGCATCATATTTAACTCTTTCTACGTCATGTGTCCCCATGCGCTGCGGGCAGCTACACTGGCCCGGCCTGTAGCCTGGTCCCATCATTAATGCATAGAAGATACTTATACTTAGCTCTTTTAAGAACTGGAGGTGTAAAAATGTACATAAATGTTGGAAGGCGGAAAAATGTTAAAAAATGTAAAAGAATCTGTCAGAATTGTAATTTAAATGAGTTAGAGGATGAATTCCACATAATAATGAAATGGCCATGTTTTAATGATTTGAGAAACCTTTTTGTACCAAAGAATATTTAAGCAAATGCACATTCAAATGTTTTGTTATTTTAATGAATGATTTATGATCTAGCTATAGTAGAAAACTTGTTAAAATTTGGTAAAGCTTCACTTGTAAGGAGAGAATGTTATCATTAAATACTGAACACTCTGTTATCATTGAATATATGTATAGGTATATATATATATACACATATGATAAACCGCCATCACCCTTGATGTATAATTTATATTTTTGTATACTCTGTACACTTTGTATATGGACCTGAGGCCTCAAGCACAAATAAAGATTGATATATAGTCGGAATCGTTCAGTTCTTTAATCTATCACTTTTCCTTTTGTATCACGTTTGTTTGTTTGTTGTTTAACGCCGCACTCAGCAATTTTCCAGCTATATGACGACGGTCTGTAAATAATCAAGTCTGGACCAGACAATCCAGTGATTGACATCATGAGCATCGATCCACGCAATTGGGATCGATGACATGCATCAACCAAGGCATGGTACTGAGAATAAGACCAGTAGTGTTACATTTAATGGAAGTTGCGGGTGTAGTTTAGTTTATTATTGTTTAACGTCTATTGAAAATAATGATGATGTAAATGAATGTGATGTTAAAACAGGGCAGAATCTAGTCATCTACCAATATCATTAGTTATAAGGTGAGGTGAAATTGGGTTTTACGTCGCGTCCCAGATCATTGCACTTATATAGCGACATGCATGCACGTGTATCTGTGTGTGTGGCTGCTTGTACTAGTCCGGACTGATGCCAATTTATAGTGCTAGCTCACTGAGATACCATGCCGCAGTTTAACATGAATACCCCACTCAGACACAGTATACTGACTCCGAGCCGACCAGTCCTTGTTTTAGCCCCTTAATGCCGAGCGCCAGACAGGGTAACAACAAGTACAATCTTTTAACGTCTTTTTGTATGACGCGGCCCGGGATCGAACCCTGGACCTTCCGCTCTCCGGGCGGACGCTCTACCACAAGACCACGGAGGCGGTCTCATTAGTTATGAAAACAATAGGATCATTTGATGAGAATTCAACCAGTTATATGTGAGGGTGAAACGATACACCGATATTCCGATGCATCGCGATACTTGACCCACAATACGATATACGATAAACGTGGGCCCATTTATCGGTACGCCGAGATACGGAACGCAAATCTCAAGTACAGCGTTTCCTTGCTATTGTGCCTTTCAATAAACCGCTAACTTGGTTATAGAGCGCGGTAACGCATGGTTCCCAAAAACGTACTTACATTTTTAATAAGCTCAGGTTTTACACTGACAGATGTTTTTCCCCATCCCAATAACATTATCAGCTGATCACCGCAAGCACATAACACCGGAAATACCAGTCAGCAGACCGAACTAAAGTACGCAATTCAATACCATCATTATACTATCTTGTTATTAATACGTGTTCATTGTATATCTGGACTTGTGTTTGTAATATATTTTATGAATTCTATTTAAAATTTCATTTAATATTGTTTTCGTTAAGTTAGGTGAAATTTTGTGTGAAGAGATACAGCAACCACAGTCAGATTTCCGCTTTTGACGCATTGACGCTAAAGAATGGATACATGTATTAATGTCATACTTTGACTCGTTAAAATTCATATTTGTGACAATTTGGCTATTATATGTCAACATAACATTTTCGCAATCAAAATACATGTCGTGCGGGAAGTCCATACGGTGACTGGTCAAGTTGTTCCAACTTCCATACATAAAAATATCCTGCAACAGCTATCACCAGTACCAAGAGGCTACGCTTGTGGTTTTTATCATTTTAAATACATATATAGTAAAAAAAATATATATTGTGGTTTATGCTCACAGCCTGAAATGTTTATATTTGAGATACATTTTTCGAGAATTTTATTGCTCATAATTAAGGGTGCATGTAACACACGAGTGCGTATTATACGTGAATAAATAAGTGTTGTGTACATTGATCAATCGGAAGGGGTGCTAATTGGTATTGTTCACTAGCCAATATATTAGCAAATGGCTGTATAGAATATGACAAAGAGCCAAATAAAGACATTTAAAGCAAATCCCTTAACATATCAAACAAGGCAAAGCGTGAGAAGGGCTCCTGATAAACCCAGACCGCAACTCCAACCTCTTGATCCCCAGCTTCTTGTGAGATTGTGTAATGTAAGTCCAAAACACTTGGACACAATGTTTAATGCCAAAATATATGCACAAAGAATCTTATCTCAGGTCTTAACCAAGCTCAATATGTCCACCAAGTTTCATATCTTAAATAAGGTTGTGATTTCAAGCCCCAAACGTTCAGAATAAAATGATGAAACCAGAATCTTTTATCTAAATTTGAAAATTATCGCACACAAGGACAGGATCCATTGCTGTAATTTGATTGGCTGCCTTAAGTCATATGCTTGAATTTGTTTGTTTTCCGAACTCCACAATATTCCAGCAAAATGACGACAGGCTGTAAAAAATCAAGTTTGGACCAGACAATCCAGTGATTGACAACATGAGCATCAATCTAGGCAATTGGGATACAATTACATTCATCAACCGACTCAGCGAACCAGACCACCCGATCCAGTTAGTCGTTTCTTATGACAGGCATAGTTGCCTTTTACAGCAAGCATGGGTTGTTGGAAGAATTTTTTTTCCCAAGATCTTCAGTGTCTGTTAGAAATCGACCAATCACGATCCTTATCATGCTTATAGCAGATTACGTAAAAAAAGCTCTTTAGATTCATTAATTAAATGAATTTTTATCCATCAGAAACACTTGTTACAACTGCGAATACCGTATTCGACGTAATAAGCGCCCACGGCGAGATTTGCTAATATATTGGCTAGTGAACAATCCCAATTAGCACCCCTTCCGACCCCTATTCGCATATAATACGCCTCGCTTCCTTCCCCTATTCGCGTATAATACACACTCGTGTGTTATATGCACCCTTTATTATTGGCATTTAAATTCTGGAAACATATATCTGTCGTACATAAACATTTCAGGCTGTCAGCATAAACCACGAAATTTAGCTTTCAACTCTGATTTTTTCACCCAAATAATATTCTAATAAGAGCCCCCTATTTCTAATTTTGAGAGCGCCCTGGGCGCTTATTACGTCGAATACGGTATACCACTGGATACGTCACGATGCGATCTGGATGCTCAGAGCTTTCAAATGAAACCATACATCAAAGGAATCTTTGCATGTGTTATTCATACACAGCTTCAAAAATGGAGGTACTTCACGTTATTTTCTTTCAAGGTTCATACAGATATGAGACACAAACTAAAATTCAAGGCCTTTTCAAGACTTTCAACTGTCATTTTCAAGGCTTTTATTTGGTTTATTTGCCATACTCTGTCAATACTTTTTTTCACATCCACTGATCCAGCACACCATCTATATATAAGTCGTAAGACCTAAGAAGCCGTATGAACATCACAAAATTTCCAACACGATTTATTTTCACAATCAACAAATAAAATATTCATTGAGCCATAAAGGCAACACGTTTATGTCATATTGTACAAATTCAAGGCTTTTCAAGTTATATTGGTGATTTTCAAAGCTTACTAAGGTTGTCATTAAAAATCAAGGTTTTTCAGGAGGGACCTTAAAATTCATGGCGTTTTCAAGCCTGTATGAGCCTCATTTCTTGTTACTGAGAGGAAAGCCACTCTTATCAGAAAATAGGTGCTGATAGACATTATTTCAAATTCTTTTTAGAATAATTTTCCGATTACGTAAACAATATAGAGGAAATAGGTAAGTGAATAGCATGAAATCTTAATATTGTCAAAAAAAACGCTACAATTTTCGCTTACTCTGTACTTAATCTGGATATTATGAATGTGTAGCTTACATTTGTAGTAAAATAATTAAGTGGTATGTTTATTAAGTTGTAAATACATTTTATAAATAACATTATAAACATGACGTTTACATTCATAAACAGTAGGGCGAGACATTTCAAACAGTGTATGACCTGCAGTTGCAAATGTTTTACAAGCTGATATTTTCCTGTGAACATGCAGGTCCCATCTATAACTAACCACCCCCCCCCCCCGAGTCTCTGGGAACGAGTTAACAGTGTTCCCGTTTACCGGGAATTACCAGTTTTTTTACCGGTAAAATAAGGCTTGGACCGGTAATTCATGTGACAGCCAGTCCCTGTGGACTGGCAAATAAAGTACCTTATAAATCTTTGATGTTGAACAAAACATCGGCGATATTCTTTTAATAAAGTGAGCTTGTCTGTTACCTTCAGGGTTTCCCCTTGTCCTATTTCGTGCAAGAAATAACATTTTGCTTTGCTCCGAGGTTAAATATATATTTGTAGTGACTTAGTCTTGAAATATTAAAAAGGAGAAAATTGTGACTTAACTTTGTGTGAATGACGTGTAGATCTAACTAAGTTACTTCAGAGATGGTGTCATGTTGAATGAATTAAAACCCAGAGCTCCAGATAAGCTGCGTATCTGCGTGAAATACTCATAAAAAATGC